CTAGAAAAAAGCTATTTTGGTTGCTTAATTTCAAGAAGTGAAAGTGGATGCTAATAAAGAGTTGGTAAAAAGAGAATTACTAATAAAGAACTGCAGCAAATCCGGTGCAAGATCGGAGGAAATTTATGAGCCAAAGTGATTTTCAATTGCCATCTTTTTTGGTCGATCAAGATTTACGAAGAACACCTGTCTCTAATATGTCTGATGAGGAAGAGGTGGTAAGTAAGTAAAAGAAATATATCTTTAGCTTTATTTTGCCAAATTACAGCTCCTTCTTATTAAAATACTGTATATAATTGTTTCTTTTAACCTTTCCAGTCTGTGACAAACTTTTGTTACGCGAACTTTGTTGTAGATCGATATTAAATATATAGTTGGTACTTACCTTAAAGTTGTTGACAGTCTTTTTATACGGTGTTATTGAAGCACGCATAACTGTGTCCTGCTTCTGAACTGAATAAGAGGTGTTATTGCTAATAGTGATCACAATTCAACGTAAGTAGATTCATCCATTCGAAGGTAATTTCTCCAATCATCTGGATATAATAGTAATTCTTATAGTAAATGTACGTGACTGTATGTATGTCTTTTCAGCAACCAAATCTACGCACCACCATCTACGTTTCTTGTATTTTTTCGTTTATTTTCGTTTATACGAAGAGCAAGAGCTGCTAAAAGTATATCGTTATCTGACTTGTTTCTGATTGCTTTCTTCTTCCGTTTTTCTGATTTTAAAGTAAAAGTAGTACTGCAAAATCGGTACGTGTGTGTTCCCATCCGATTTTTTTCAACATTATTGTGTTGCAATTGCATTAGCAGAGATAATCAAACTGCTGAGCTGCTAAGAAGAATAACACTAGGATGGGCAGCATATGGAAGACTGCGTGATATTTTTAAAGGTGATATACCTATCAGCTTAAAAATAAGAACCTTTAATCAGTCTGCTTGTCCTTACATATGGCGCAGAGACACTTACCCTAACAAGGATATCTACACGAAAACTACAAGTGACGCAACGTAGAATGGAAATATCATTGTTAGGCATAACGTTGCGAGATAGGGTAAGAAACGAAGAAATCCGTAGAAAAAGTGGTGTAGAAGACATCATAAAACACATCTTCTTTTTCTTCCAATGGCGCTACAGCCCAAATTGAGCCTTGGCCTCCTGTAACTTCTGCCTCCAACAAAGGCGATCCCGCGCCACTCGTCTCCAAGCCCTGACGTTCAATAAGTTGTGCGCATCTGCTGTGACTTCGTTCTCCCATCTATTACGTAGTCTTCCCTTTGGTCTTCTGCCCTGCATTTTACCATCCAAGGCCTTTCTCGGCAATCTGTCGGCATCCATCCGTACCACATGACCAGCCCATCGAAGCCTTTGTACTCTAGCGAACTCTGCAATAGATGCTTCTTTGAACAGTTGGTAGAGTTCATGGTTATATCTAGATCTCCACATCCCATTTTGAGTGATGGGTCCAATGATCTTCCTTAGGATTTTTCTCTCGATAACCTCTAATCTTCGTTTAGTGCTTTCTGTCAAAAACCCATGTCTCGCATCCATAGCATACTATCGGTCTGATGATAGTTTTATAGACCTTAAGTTTCGATTTTCGATGTACCGTCTTGGAGCGGAATATGTTAATCAGGGAAAAATAGGCTTTATTTCCCTTCATTATTCTCTTCTGAATTTCGGCCTCTTCTGTTCCCTCCGTATTCATTTCGACTCCCAGATAAGTAAAACTCTTCACTGTTTCAATGTCATCCTCTACTTTGATTTGATTTCTTGTTCGCTTTGTCCGCGTCTGTGTTAGTATTTTTGTCTTCTGTGTATTTATTTCAAGTCCAATCTCCTTGGCCGTTTTTTCAGCTGCGAATATGTTTCTGCTGCATCATCCACTCTGCGGGACATGAGGTTAATGTCATCCGCATATGCGGCGAGCTGGACAGATTTGTTTGTTAGGAGATTGGCTCTTCCGACATTCAGCTTTCTGATGACATATTCAAGGGCCAGATTGAACAGTGTGGAGCTAGTCCATCACCTTGTTTCAGCCCTTGAACTATTTCGAAGCTGTCAGTTAATTCGTACTGTATGCGTACAGTTGCTATTGTGGAGTCCATCGTTGCTTTTACTAGTCGGATATATTTCGAGGGAATATTGAAGCTTTCCATGATGTTATATAACCGGCTTCTATTTATGGAGTCATAAGCCTGTTTGAAGTCGACAAATATATTGTGAACATCAATATCGTGTTCCCAAGCTTTATTAAGGATTTGCGTTACTGTAAAAAGCTGATCTATTGTCGACCTGCCTTGTCGAAAACCGGTCTGGTATTCGCCGATAATATTTTCACATAATGGTTGAAGTCGCCTATTCAGGATGGATGTAAAAATTTTGTAGGCCGAACATAGGAGGGTTATGCCGCGGTAATTTTCGCATTTAAGTTTGTCCCCTTTTTTGTAGATTGGGCAGATAATCCCATTTTTCCAATCGCTAGGAATTTTTTCTTCCCTCCATACCTTAATACATAAAACACATAGCCAAAATTAAATGGAGATGGGCAGGACACGTCGCTAGAATGAAGGATAATAGGTGGATCAAAAAAATCTTAGTAGGGAGTCTTAGGTGGAGTAGAGACCGAGAGCGGATAGACGAAACCCGGGAAGACCACCCACAAGATGGACTGACGACATAAAGAGGGTTTGTACCAACTGGATTGGACCAGCGCAAGATAGATCTGAATGGAGGTTTTTCGAGGAGGTCTATGTTCAGCAGACTATGGGCTGATGATGATCACGATAATGAATTGCATTAGACAAAATTGCGCCGTTGAAACGTGAGTGGCGAGCTTGAAAACAAGTACCCTTTATCGTTGCCGGTACGCCAGTAGATATGAGGAAATTTGTATCTATGAATGTGAATGAAGATCTGTATGTAGAATATGTAGAATATACTGGTACTAAACGAATAATACCACTGAAGAAATCGAAATAAAGCGAGGTGTGAGACAAGAGTGTATACTGTCACCAACCCTGTTTAATCTCTATTATGAAGACGTAATGAATAGAACACTCTCTGAGCAGTCCGTAGGTATTAAAATAAATGGTGTTAGATTAAACAATCTGAGATTTGCCGACGACACCGTACTGATCGTAGAAATACTTGCAGAGCTACATACATTGGTGAATAAGATAGCAGACTGCAGCGAAGAATATGGACTATCTTTGAACATAAAGAAAACTAAATTTATGGTAATATCGAAATCAACACAAAATATCCAAAATTTAGATTTACGCAATGAAATTATTGATCGAGTTAGCAAATACAAATATTTAGGCACTTTTATAAATGAAGACAACGATAGCTCAGCAGAAATCAAAGTAAGAATAGAAAAAGCCAGATCCATATTCACTAAAATGAAGAGAGTGTTCTGCGGAAACGATTTGAGCCTTGAAATGAAACTTCGCCTGATGAGATGTTACGTACTTTCTGTGCTGTTCTACGGAATGGAGTCATGGACGTTGAAAAATATTGATACCAAAAAATTAGAGGCATTTGAACTGTGGATGTATCGCAGAATCCTGAGAATATTATGGACCGAGAGAGTCACAAATGTCGAGGTCTTGAGAAGAATGAATAAAGAAAAGGAAGTCATATTTACGATCAAAAAACGAAAACTGCAATACTTGCGACACATTACAAGAGGCGAAAGATATTAACTGCTTCGAATAATTATGCAAAGGAAAATAGCAGGAAAAATGTCCATAGGAAGAAGACGAAATTCCTGATTAAAGAATCTACGGGAATGGTATAGCTGTAGCAACAACGAATTGTTTTGGTTAGCAGTTTCGAAAATACGTATAGCCCTGATGATCGCCAACCTTCGGAACGAAGATGACACTTGAAGAAGAAGAAAGGACGAGTGAGCTAAAAGAGGAGTATCCATTTTAATAAAGTAACATTAAAAAATAAAATTACAAACTAAGAAATGATCAATTAAATTATTTCAACAGTGCGGACGATACAGTACTCCTAGCTTCTAGTCAAGAAGATCTGCAAACACTACTTGATAGTGTCGTTGAGAGTTGTAGGGAGGCAGGTCTGGATCTTAACATAAGGAAAACCAAAATACTCGTAATAAGTAAACAACAGAATATAAAACCGTCTAGATATGTAAATAATATCAAACTTAAGCAAGTTGATAAAATCGTCTACCTTGGACAGCAATTAAATTGTAATGCCGAAAATCACGGCGAAATTAGATCCAGAATAGAGCAGGCTAGAGCTGCTTTTAGAAGGATGTCCAAGGTGTTATGTAACAGAGACCTAAAATTGGCATTAAGGATCCGCCTACTTCGCTGCTACGTGTTCTCGGTCTTACTTTATGCTGTCGAGTCCTGGACTGTGAATAAAATCGATCTAAATCGCCTTGAGGCTTTCGAAATGTGATGCTATAGAAGAATTTTAAAAGTTTCCTGGGTGGAGAAGATTCGTAACTCCACAATACTAGAACGTCTCAGCAAGACTACTGAGATCATAAAAAGCATCAAGCAGAGAAAGCTGGAATATTTCGGACATGTAATGAGAGGTCCCAAATATAGATTGCTACAAAACATCATGCAAGGAAAAATAGCAGGCAAACGTAGTCCAGGACGAAGAAGAACCTCATGGTTGAAGAACTTGCGAGACTGGTATGGTGTAGATACAAGCATGCTATTTAGGGTGGCAGTGAATAAAATTAAAATAGCTATGATGGTAACCAACGTTCTGAAAGGACATGGTACATGAAGAAGAAGAAGAAAAACAGTGATATCAAACTCCTTCAGCATTATATCACGGCAACAGCAATATATGCTCCATCAGATGATGGGGTTAACCGCAATCCTATCGATTTTTTAAGTAAATACTTTAAGTCTAATTCCAAAAAACTAATGCAAACCAAACAATTTAAAAATTTTACAGCTGTGAATAACGAACTACTTTTCCTTACACATTTTTTTTCTAGGTAAGGGCGAAAGTGTCTATGACTATTATACTCATAAAAGACCTGAAAAGTTCCACAATGGCAGTAACGGTGACGTCGCTTGTGATTCGTACCACAAATGGCATGAAGATGTAAAAATTCTAAAAGACTTGGGCGTAAACTTTTACAGGTTTTCCATTTCATGGTCTAGAATTCTACCCACTGGCTACTCAAATAAAATCAACGAGGAGGGTGTTAAGTACTATGAGAATCTCATCGATGGACTATTGAAAAATGGTGAGTTATAAAAATTTTGCCCTCAACCATGGTTAAAAATTATTATGTTATAGGTATTGAACCAATGGTAACGCTGTACCACTGGGACCTACCCATGCCTATACAAGAGCTAGGTGGATGGACCAACATAAAAACCGCGGAATATTTTGAAGACTACGCTAGAATAGTATTCGAGCGTTTTGGAAATAAAGTTAAATATTGGATCACCTTTAATACGACTTTGATGGGCTATGCTGATTCAGAATTTCCTCCTTTCATTAATCAACCAGGCATAAGTAGCTATATGTGTACCTACGTTACTCTTCTGGCACATGCTAGAGTCTTCAGGATCTACCAAAATGAGTTTAAACAATATAAAGGTTTGTATTTTATGTTTAACTGCATATTAAATATACTTCCTAACTATACTATCCAAAAAAACTGCAGTAAAGACGAAAGAGGGACAGACCAAGATTAAGTTGGAGAAAATGAGCTGACAAGGATATAAAAGCGAGAGGAATAGAAGAGTACCTTCTGAATGACCAAGACCAATGGAAACTGGAAATCATAAAGCGGCAAAGATCGTTATATACTGATTATATATATATATATATAATATATATATATATATATATATATATATATATAATATATATATAATATTAATATATAAATATATTATATATATATATATATAATATATATATATATATATATATATATATTATATATATATACATATATATATATATATATATATATATAATATATATTTATATAATATATATATATACATATATATATATATATATATATATATATATATATATAATATATATATATATATATATATATATATATTATTATTATTGTGATATTTAAAGTCTTGGTGCGCCAAGCAATTAACTAGCTAATTAATTAATTGATTAATTAAAATTATTTAAATGATATGATTATGACTCTATCACACTTTTTAATTCTCTTATCTCAGGGTTAAATTCGTGCTTCAATATCTATGCTATTACATGTGAAAGGTAAGGTCCAAAGAATACCGAATAATAAAAAACACATATGATATAACACTATATATTGAAATAAAAATAATGAAATAATATTCACACTCAAATGTTTTCGATAAACAAAATCTCATATAATGATTCTCAAAATTTTGTTCTACGTACGTGAACCTTCAAAATTAATGGTACAAACAATATTAGTTGAAAACTCAAAATCCAAGTATTACTCTAAATCTCCTAATCAAAATATTTATATCCTTTCTAAATTAAGTGTAAAAATTGTGTTATCAATGAAAGAAAAACTGCAGAAAACAAAACTATCTCTCTCTGATGATGAGTGGTCCAAATCCTTGTTATTTGTAGACTATACTATTTACTCGTGGCCGCTCCCTAAGTAATCAGCAATCTTACAATAAATTATTGCAAGTATCTCGTCCTTAATGATCTCCTTCAAATGCACGAATCGTTCAAATTATGCTAGCTTCTTCTTCTCTCAATAAACTGAATCTCTCGTTGGCCTGAGTGAAAAATGACTCTTGGAATATCTTTTCTTTACGATAAACTGAATCTCTCGTTGGCCTGAACAGTGACTCTTGGAATATAAGTAGAAAAATATGACTTACAATGTTTTACTGGATCAGCTTCTGTCAGATACACTAACTACACGAAAACTCACAAACTTTCACTGCTACTGCTTCCTACCTCTGGGAAACTACCCGAGAACAACGGCCGTTCGCCTTGCACCCTTGGAAACCAACTGCCTATCTTTTTTCCCTCAAAATTCTAGCTAAACTTTTCATTCCTACATACCTATCCCACCTTTTTTAATATCCGCCAATCAAAACTCGTCACAATTCCCCATTCTTTCATTCCGATAACAAACAACCTTTTACCTATAATTGTAAAATTTCCTAAAACTTATTTACAAATAATATTTTTCTACAATTCTTAAAAACTAACAAAAACCTCTTTCTAAAGCCTCTTCTATTGTCTTTAATCGCTGCGTTAATGTATTTGGAAAACCCGGTTCAATTGTTCTTTGGATTTCACTTAAAATTATGCGGGTCACTCAAGTATAGTATAACAAAGGAAATAATTTATGCATAGCTTACATTTTATTTAATACAGGTAATCCAAAAATTTAAATACTTTCCTTCTTTGAAATGTTTTTGGGTATTATCCTACTTATCTGAATTATTTAATGTTTTTGAATTTTGAAATATTTTAAACAAACCAATATTTTTCTCGTTTTTACATATCATAACAATATATATAAATATGTAAATACTTTTTTCTTTTTGGGTGTGGTAGTCAATAAAAAATAGAGCTTTGCTAAGGCGTACTATTTATTCTGAAATCCGAGCTTTCGGTGGTTATTTGCCACCTTTATCAAGGTCTACAATGAAAATTACTGTGTTATAAAATTAGGCTGATGTAATATAAAAGTTATAAAAACTTACCAGAAAGTAAGATTCATAGCATATAAAACACAACGTTAAATAACATAATGTGATCTGAATTACTGTGGGCATTAAAAATTTAAAAACTTTAAAATAACTTAAAAATTAAAGAACATGTTACAAAGTTTGAAAAGTAAAAAAATAAGACGACATGTTTGACAAAAAACAGTCGTCTTCGCAGGTTTGAATTCAGTCACATCTCACGAACAGAAAGATATATATATATATATATATAATATATATATATATATATATATATATAATATATATATATATATATATTAATTTTAATGTATAAAAAATTATCACACAAAATCTTCCCTGTATAACACATTTATGTAAAAATAATCAATACTTCAATTTCTTTCATCTAATATTGACTAATGACCATGTTTAAGGACAAGTCGGTATTGTAGTAGATGCCCGCTGGTATCAACCAGGCAGTGATTCAAATAAAGATGCCGAAGCTGCCAATAGAGTACTAGAATTTGAGGTAAGTGGTTTTTAAAGTCAAGTTCAAATCGAGTGTCATAAACTTAGCAACTGTTTCGACCAACTAGAAATAATCTTTAATCTTTGAAGCACAAGGTTCATTCCAAAACTAATCGAACTCCTAATTGTATGATAAAGCATAAAAATAGATGCTGCTAGTCTGAAAGGTATCTTTTACAGGGTGTTTTTATTTAGAGAAATGTAAGTTGGGAACATTTTTTTAACTGTTGGCAATTTTGACAGCTGTCAAATGATTTATTTTAAGTTTGGTTTAGTATTTCAGCATGAATATACTTGACGTCTGACAACGCTTCCAAATTGTACAAATTTATTTTGAAAATTGTGGTTCTGTTCGAAATACAAATCGCGCACTACGTCCATGTGATAGTCAACATAATAGTCCATCAGAGCAAGTAATTCCATTAACCATGGAATATTTTTGCACCACGTTTACTCTAAATGATAATATGCATTCACAGACATGTCGTACAGTGCATACAGAAGAAGATGTTGCTGCTGTAAAGCTTAGCATCCAGGAAAACCCGAATAAATCTATCTGAAATCGTACACAGCGGTTGGATACGTAACCATCGACTTTATGCAAGTCATGCAAAAATTGAAGTAACATTATCACCTATCAAGGCGTAAATTCATAGATTCGGGGAGTCTGTAACACACAGATTTTCTTCAAAGTAGTTAAAGCACGCCATATATCCTCGTAGCTTGCCTTGCCTGTACACGACTTCTTGGTCATCATATAAAGCAATCGAGGACCATTTTCTAATCTCAGTACTCTTCCAACTTTAGGCTGCTGATTTTTTAACTCGTCCAAACGACCGAACTTCTTATAAAATACGGATGAGATTCCTTTAGTCATCTCAAGATCTTGGGCAACAGGGTGGGCTATAGAGACGTTATGCGGAACACTAAAAAAATCCTGCTAAACTTCTGTGGTCACGCCAATTCTAGCACTCTTTCTCTCTGAGTAATTTGACAACATAAATTCTTTAAAGCTTGGTCGCCGGTCATCTTTGATCACATGTTGAAGGGTTCGTGCTTCATCTGTTTCATTTGAGCCAGCATAAGGTGCAAGACGATTTATGTGAACTACTTTTGTTCTCTTTTTAATTTTATACCGGCCTTCCCATTGTCTTTGCAGTTTAGGTAACAAACCTTGACGACGTTGTGGATTATTAAGCCAAACAAGATCACCTACTTCATAGCTTTCATTTTTGCATCAAGATTTTATATTGATCTTTCATTCAGTCACTGGCTAACTGAATGTATTGTCGGGCAAGTTCATGGATATTGTTCATTCTTAACTTCAGGCGGTCGACATAATCTCCGCTTTCAACATGTTCTTCGGAAGGTCTGCAGCCAAACTCTAAGTCACAAGGCAAACGAACCTCACGACCTAACATCAGGCAGGTTAAAGTCTGGCCTGTAGTTTCATTCACGACTGAGCGGTAGGCCATTAAAAGTAAATGAATGTGCTGGTCCCAATCTCTTTCATATTCTGATACAACTTTGGACAGGTGTTTACCCATTGTTCGGTTCATCCTCTCGATCATTCCATCTGATTGAGGATGCAGGGGTGTCGTTCTGGTCTTATTGATACCAATGTTTTGTAAAAGGGTTTGACTCGAAGTTTCGCCCTTGGTCAGAGTGGATCTCTAAGGGAACATCAAATCGGCTAAAGAATTCTTTAACAAATACCTCTGCAACGGTAGCAAATTCTTGATTTGGTATCGCATAGGCCTTATTCCATTTCGTAAAAGAATCCATGGCTACCAGGATGTATTTACTACCACCATTCGTCTCTGGAAGTGAACCTGCAATGTCAATTGCTACTCTTTTTATAGGACTACCAAGATTGTACTGTTTCATGGGTGCCCTCTTTTTACCAACTGGGCTATAATTGGTTGCACACAGTTCACATTTTCGGCACCATCTTCTTACATTATCTTTACAGTTCACCCAATAGAACCGTTCTCGAACCTTTTGCAGGGTCTTCGTAATACCAAAGTGTTTACCATATGCACCATAATACAACTGACGCAATACTTTTGACACTTTATCTTTAGATACAATCAACTGAAGTTTAGATTCGATACCATCATCGTTCTCAAAGGTTATATACAGAAGATCATCTTTTAGTACTAGGCAATTCCATTGGCTCCAGTAAGACTTGACTTCTGGACTACATGCACTAATGTCTTGCCAAGTAGGTCTCTCACTTCGATGAATCCAATCCAATACTCTTTTTATACATGGATCATCTGCTAGCGTCTTGTAGCTGTTGAGGCTGCCATTGATCATTAATGCCGGTGATTCGCCTCACGGGGCAAGGTCGACTTTTTCCAGCCCGGTTTTCGATCTGTTCTAGCTTTCTGACTGTTGTATTATTTTCTTTCAATTTACGGAGAATGTGACCTACGTCACCACCATTCCAGCATCTGGTTTCACGTCTCTTCGGCATCGTGTTACAAACTACTTTCCGTACGATTTCCTTCAGACGTTTATCGTTTTGTTCGTCGCTCTCTTCAGAGCTTCGTACTCGATAGCTCCGTGCTGGCTGTTTCATGTTTCAAGGCAATGACGATCGCTTCATCCAAAATTTTCGGTCTTGCTAGTCGTAAAGCTTTCTGTATTTCACTGTCTCTCAACCTATTGACGATGTTGTCCAAAATGTTGTCTGGTACCTCCGGATAAGCCAACCGAGCTATACGAGCAACATCTGCTTCAAATTATTGCCAATTCTCACTTGCTTGTTGAATTCTACTTCTTATTTGTAGTTTGTAGACTTGTAGATGGGCAAGTCCGTAACGTTTGATCTTTAGGAATTGATCTTAAGATATCCACAGCATCATCTCGTAAAGCAGCCGTCAAGGAAACAGCTTTTCTTGTTCTGTCCAATGATTAGCTGTCGCAATAGTTTTAAATTGTCTAAGGTACATGGACCAAGAAGACTCTCCATCAAATGGTTGCAATTTGAATCTTATATAAAATGTAGTTTTATCTCTTGGTGATTATACTTTCACTACCGGATCTAAAGCTTCTGTATTAACTGCTGGTAGCACTTTCGTCTTAGTTATCATGGTCTCTAATTGTTTGATCTTCTTTTCTACGTCGTTTACATTTTCCTGTAGGTATCTTATCCATTGTTCTAGAAACTTCTTCAAATTTCTCATTGTTATGAATACATACTTCTTTAATTATTTGAGAAGTCTCGTCATTTTGTCTACCTAATTCTTTAATAATTTAAGACATTTCATCGAATCTTTTGGAAACGTTCTTGAATCTATCATCATTTGTTCTACAAGTTTTTTCGATAATTTGAGAAACATTTCCAAATTTATCATTAATAATTTAAAATGTTTCATCAAATCTTTTAGAAAGATTCTTATCATTCTTTCTAGAACTTTCTTCGATCTTGGTTAAAACTTCTTCTTCTGCTGATTGAAAATGGAATGTATCTGGGCCATCTTCATTCTTGTTGAAAATATTTTTCAGTCGTTCTTGGTTTCTTCTTCAGTTTCACGTACTTTTTAAATGTTCCTTTTTTAAAAATATTACTACCATACTACGCTAATGTTCCCGACGAACAATACTTTTCAAAAGTTCAAAAGTCTTTTTTTGAAGTCACTACTGAATTTATTTTTAAATAAATCAATTATGCTCACACCGTGACACTAACTGTACCGTTTTTAAATAAAACGAGCGGTTCTAATTTATAAAAATATATTTTTATTATTAAGTTTACAGCAAAATTATATCTTATCAACTAACTTAGCTAATATCGCAGCTACTTATATATAAAAGTTATTATGTACTAGAATATTCTGGAATAGTAAACCTCTCTATTCTTCTCATCGAAAGATGGGCGCTATTGAAATTCCAACTCTTGAGTATCCTAGATCTATCCTTCTAAGAATTGTGACACATACCATGCATCGGAGATGGGCTTTTTCGTTATAGTACGTTGAGAAACTATTACATTCAAAAAAACTGACTGTTTGGTGTGCTTTATGGTCTGGTAGAATCATTGGACTGTATTTCTTCAAAAACGATACTAGCCAGAACGTTACAGTCAATGTTGACCGTTATAGAGCCATGATTACTGCCTTATTCATTGCCAATTAAACAACAATGACGTGCAGGAGCTGTCGTTTCATAGTTTCACGTTTCGGACCATGACTTGGCCTCCAAGATCCTGCGATTTAACACTTCTAGACTATTTTTTTGTGGTGATATGTAAATGTGCTAGTTTACGCCGATAAGCATAAATCGATTGACCACTTGAAGCACAGTCGTCGATCACTGTCGTTAGCTGGCGGACTCATTTCGGTGGGTAATCGGTTTGCTTCGCCTGGCTCGTACGTGTATTCAGCCGAGTCGGAAAGTGTTAGGGGAAGCTTAGAGAATGTCGAATAGTAGAATTTATTTTTCATTTAACCATTCAATGTTTTACAATTTTGTAGAGAGAATTCACGTATAGTTCTGCCAACGTGTTTTTTTTTGGAAATGCTTTATTCAGTCTCATACAATCAGTGAATGATATTTCTAATGCAATGTTTTTCGCTGTCTTTCAGGTCTGCCACGGTTATTGACTTTTAGAAGTTTGTTTTTCTTTAACTAAATTCACTGAAATGATTCATTAATTCAGGAAACAATAATTGCATAATGTTTAAACAATTGCTTTGGAATACAATGTTACCTAATTTAATGTCCCCTAATTCGAATTAGGTTAATGAACCATATTTAAGTTTTTCTCTTTCAGATCGGTATTTGGCTGCATCCTCTCCTCAGTCCAAAAGGAGACTTCCCTGAAATAGTTAAAGAAAGAGTCGCAGCCGTATCCAGCGCTGAAGGCTACCGGCAATCACGATTGCCAAAGTTTTCCGCAACAGATATAAATCTTCTTAAGGGGAGCGTTGATTTTGTTGGTCTAAATCTGTACACGTCACATTTGGTAGAACATGTGGAAGATGAGCATTTTAAGGACACGTCAACTATAAGAGATGAAGGGGCTAGATTGTACCAAGATGCATCTTGGAAAGGTTCCAAGTCAACTTGGTTAAAGGTATCAATAACATATTCCAAAATATTATGTATATAATATCTTGACCTGTTCTAGGTTCATCCAGAGGGAGCAAGAAAAATATTAAACTGGGTGAAAGAAAAGTACAATAATCCTGTAGTTTTTATAACGGAAAATGGATTTTCTGACGATGGAGAGATAGAAGATAACGGTAGAATTGAATATCTGCAGGTATATTTTTAATATAGTGTACTAATTTTAGCATTTCAACACGGTAATCAACTGTTTTTTAAATCAATGCAGACTCATAGTTTCGCTTCGTTTATAAATCACTTTTTAAGCCATTTTACGACAGTTTTCATATATCAACAATATGATACTAATATTGGGATAAGTTAGGATTTTAATATTGATTTTATAAGACTATATGCTTAATATATCCAAGTAGATCCTTAACAAAGAGATACCATCTCGCCCAAGCTATTCAACCAAGTGCTAGAAGATGTTTTCAAATGACTACACTGGGATGGCTTGGGAATTAACATAAACGGGCAAAATCTGAATCATTTACGATATGCTGATGATATTGTATTATTAACAGAAAAAAGTGAAGAATTACAAAGAATGATGGAAGAACTAAATAGAGAATCGACAAAAATTGGACTCAAGATAAATTACAGTAAAACAAAAACTATGGCTAATCAACCAGAAGAACTAATAATTACAGTGGTACAAACAAGAATAGAACAAGTAAAAGAGTATATATATATATATATATATATATATCTAGGCCAAATCACTAAATTAAATAAAGAAAATCAGACCGAAGAAATAAAGAAAAGAATAAGATTGGCCTGGGCATCATTCGAAAAACTATCTTATATTCTAAAGAATTCAAAATACCCCCAATACCTAAAAACGAGAGTCTTCAATCAGTGTATACTCCCTGTCCTCACATATGGCTCTCAGACATGGACGTTTACAAAGGAAAATATGGAAAAAATAGCAAAGACAGAAAGATCCATGGAAAGACAAATGCTGAACATTAAACTATCAGACAGAAAAAGAAACGAATGGATCCGTAATAAAACAAAAGTGACATATGTCTCAACCCAAGTAGCAAAGCTTAAATGGAAGTTCGCCGGACACACCCTAAGGCAGAAAGATGAAAGATGGACTAAAACAATTATACATTGGAGACCATGGAATCACAAGCGAAAAAGGGGAAGGCCACAAATGCGATGGTCAGATGACCTGAAGAAACACGCGCCGGGTCAAAATAGATGCAAATTGTCCAAGATAGAGAGGCATGGAAGAAGGAGGAGGAGGCCTATATCCAAGGATGGATGTTTAGGGCTGTATAGATAGATAGATAGATCCTTAACTGTATACACCTACTTAGTGTACACCTACATTGGAACCGTATTTCTCCCGGATCGGAAGAAATACGGTTCCAATGTAGGTGTACACTAAAAGAGATAATATTGCTACTGATACGGCAGCATGTTTAAATATTTGATTATCTCTAAGTTTTAATGTTAGGACTAGGTTTACTTTAGGTTTTAGAGCAGTACACCTCCTTAATAGCAAATTCTAGAGAAAAAAGTACATTTTTTGTTGATTTCGTATCAACAACTTCAATGAAGATCCCAAACCAACATTCTTCTGTATATCAGCTAGCAGTTTGTAAATTTGTTAAACACCAACTTTCTGAATTATTGAATGATTACTTCCCATGCTAATACATCTGAAGCAAAAACACCTTAAGGATAGGAACTATTTTACGCAATTGGTGACAACTTAATGTTTGAAGAAATAATTGTAGATTGCAAATGATTCAAGCATCTGGAAATCTTAAACAACGAGTGAATGAAAAATACTTCTATGGAATTATAACTATGTATTTTAACACGCCAATATCGACTAAAGAAGAGCCTGAAAAGATCTAATACAGCAGATGTTGCAGAATGCATATTTTGTGCAATAATCTTTTACTTTCTTAGGTTCCAGAATATAGGCATAGCAGTTTCAACTGCTGTGTCCTAAGAAACTTATGAGCATATTATCTGAGAGCATATGAGATATCAGTTTTTTTTTAGGTAAAATAAATCATTGAGAAACCATCAAAGAAGGCAACCAAAGGGGGCACACAAGGGTAGTGAAAGTACCAACTAAGTCAATCATTAACAGCTATTCATTCAAGCTTTTTTATATATAAAAAATTCAGTATAACAAATATTTTAACTTAAGTTTCATGGTAGCATAATATATACCAATAATTTTGTTTGTAGGGATATTTAACCAACATACTGCAGGCTATTCATGAAGATAAAGTAGACGTTAAAGGATATGCAGTCTGGAGTTTGTTAGATAATTTCGAATGGGCGTCTGGATACAGGTAATTCTCTAAAGAATGTTATTTTCTGAAAAATCTGCCGATAGAAAAGGATTTGAGAGCGGTGCAAGTTAGCCAGTCGAGATATTTGACGAAGGGTAGAGGACGTTTTTATTCGTTAAAATCTATCTCTAGTGCTTTTATAAATCTCTTCCAGTAATATGTTTTTATTTTCTTAACTAATTGATGAGTTTCAGTTATTTTTTATGTATGAAGATCCTACAGCTTCTGCCAGATTTCGCATTTTGATTACCATCCCTCTCAGTCCCTCTTATTAACGTTACATTAATGATAAGTCCCTAATTTTCTTTCTTCAGTTGGTTTTCGAATCATATTATCCAAATCTTTCTCCTCATTTGCTACAATTAGTTCGACTGTGAAAAAAATACTTCTTAAGCACTGGTTCCTAATGAATATCCAGGATGCTATAATGCAGAATTAAATGAATGAAATCATTCTTCTGTAACCGCAGCTTAAAGCTAAACTGACGTCAAAGAATTGCTATATTTGGTCAGTATTCTTACATGGCACCGAGACCTGGACTCTGAAGGCTAATACGATGAATCGCTTGGGGGTATGAGATGTTTATGGGATGTAATTACTTCGAAGAATGCTCCGAAGATAATGCTCAAGAACATTTCGTGAATGGACATCAATATGCAATGCAGAACAACTATTTCGATAAGGTGAAGACCGTGAACAACTGTACAATGTAATTGCCAACATTAGGGAGACCTAATATGGCACCGAAAGAAGAAGAAGGTTCCTTCACTCCTTCAATTTGTTAATGGCTTTTACTTATTTGGCCTGTCTTCGTCAATATCTTAAAAAGATATCTTAAAAAGATATTGACGAATCAGGGTATAGTATCATATTCCTTCTCTAAATCTACGAATACTAAATGAATAGGCAAATATTTGGCTGTTTGTCTTTCTATAATTTATTTTCGTACGAATATCTTATAAAAACAACATCTACCGGATTGGAACACACTCTGATCTTTTATTTTAATACATCGATCCTCGACTCTTTTCATTACCAATAGACCATATATCCTTCCCGAACTGATATAGTATATTACATAACGAGAGTTGTAAGAAGCTTATTACATGCGAGTAAAAAAGTGGCGCGCGAGCCACGTAGCGGCGAGCGCAGTAATTTTACAAGCATGTAATAAGCTTACAACTCAAGTTGTGTACTATACTTTTTCTACCATTATTTTCGTTTATAGAAATAAAAATTAAATTACCACTATATTTACACTGACAGATTAATAATTTTTAATCTGTCAAAATAACGTCTGTTAATTCGTTTCCATGGTAACTCGACCAACTGACTTACGAGGCTTATGTAATATTACACATTTTTATAAAACTGAAGCGTAATTTTTTTTATTACGTGCTAGTCATTAAGTGTCAGTATCTGTTATGATGCATTTACTTAGCATCCAAATAGTAGGTAATATACAATTTACTAGTAAGAGAGTAGAAAAACATTTTTTTCTAAATAGAAATAGAAAAGATTTCTGGTTCCAAGATGGAGCTCGACTATACTACGGCGTTAAGGAAAGAAATTACTTAAATAACTTTTCCCTAGGTAGGTGGATAGCTAGAAAGAGATCTATCGGATGGCCACCAAGGTCTCTAGATTTGACTCCGTTAGACCGAATAATCTAGAAGAGTTGAAGTCATTCAAAAATTAAAATTAACGTGTTTTAATATGTCTTCTGAAATAATGAATGTATTCCATGTATTTGCATCATACTGTATACCTAAAGATTATTTTTTGATAAATTAATATCATACTATAATCTTTACATGAATTTATGTTCTAATTTTGTACTATTTTAGTGAAAAATTTGGTTTATATCAAGTGGATTTCAATGATCCTGGCAGAAAAAGGTATCCTAAGAAGTCTGCGCTGTGGTACAAGAATGTGATAAAAAACAAACAGTTACCTTAACCATAGTAATCATTTGTATTTGTGTTTTGTTTTTAAATAAAAGAAATTTTAACATGAATAAAATCGATTAAAACATAGTAGAGTGTTTAATGTTTCTCAAGTCAGACACTTGTGTACGTGATAGCCTCAGCATTAAAATAACCGATGCATAAACTAATAATGGTAGTGATAGATTAAATCACATAACAACAAAACAGGAATTCCACAGTAATTTTTAAGTTTCAAAATGGTTCGATACTTAGGATTAGGTATTATAAATGTTAAAAATTACAAAGGCACAAAGAAACCAGATCAACAAATATGGCACAAAAAATTTAAAGATGTAGATCCTCTCTTTAGTATGATCGTAACCTCAATGACTATTAATATTACGCAGCATAATGACAAATGATCCTTACGACAGAATACACCACCCAACAAGAAGCGAAACGAAGAGCTTTTTGCAATCCAAATTTCTGCGGGAATCCCCATATTCTAAATAGTTTATCTGCCAACCTATAAAAACTGACGTTTGTTTATGTATTGAGAAGTGTTATTTCGTGTGTGTTGTCATAAAAAAAGAATAATACTATTATATATACTTTATATATAAATATACATATTTTAATATCTTAAAAAATCAATAAAAAGTAATAGAAATCGACTGATTTTCATCTCTATTTTGAAATTAACTCTTAAATTCAATCGCTTTTTATCGGTTTTTTAACGTACTAAAATACTTTCAGTACGTTAATTAATTTGTTAAAAAAAAAAAAACAAGTCGATATTTTTGACTTAAGACCTTTTTACTAATCAGTGTAGAATTGATATACGGGTTATATTAAATTTTACAGAAAAAAATACAATTCATACAAAACAGATCTACTTTAACCCCCTCTGTGGCTCAGTGGTAAGAGCGCCTACCTTTGAACCTAAAGGTCGTGAGTTCGAATCTCACCTGGGTGGAAATTTTCGTTTATTAAAAATTAATAAATGAAAATAATTTCTATCCTTGTGCGATCGGTACTCACCGGAGGGACCGCAGACGTTCGGATACAATTAGCGTCTCTTAGCAAAGACTATGACGTCGACTTTGCTAAGTATCAAGACACTTACTCTACACACACACTACACACCTTATTGTAAAACCATTGACCATTAGTCGTCGACGCATTAAACTCAATAAAAAAAACATTAGTTTTAATAATTACTTTGTTTCTCGGTGTCACTATAACTTTACTACTGTTTTGAATGACTTCCTTATTACTTTTTTTAGTGTACTAAGTAGTGCAACTGTCATTCTCCTTCCGAAATTTCTGTCCTACGAACATCAAAGGTACCAGCAAAGCATTCGCTTCTTGTTTGGTGATGTGTTCTGTGATCCTACTTTTAATTTTAAATTGTGAGGTGGGAGTCTAATTCCAATGAATTCAAAAACTTGCTTCATTTTTACAACCTAAAGTTCAGATCAGGTTGTCTTCTCCCTGGCATTGTAAACTTAAAAAGTTCTCGCGCTAGGAGTACCAAACTATTTTACTAATCATTCTACAAAAATGGTAAATGGTAAAATACTTCCATGGAGTCACAATGCCGGGACTGAGTGAATGCCATATTTGATTACTGTGAAATATTAATATTGCTTTCGGAAATTTTCTTTCGGATATGTTAACATATCAAGCTACATTCTCGAAGATTTAAAAATATTTAAAATTTGAAATGAGTTCCAAATCATTATTAAAATTTCCAGCAAAATATAACGAAATTGTTTTCAAGCTTTGACCATTTGATGTACTACACATTATACAACCTTTTATTTACACCAAAAATATATAAAAAAACATTTTTCTGCAGCCGTCCCGAAAATAAAACTTTCGGTATGATTTATTAAATCGAAAGTACCCTTTTACACAACTCGCACCGAAAGTAGCTACTTTCGCTTGTCATTTAAGATTCGTGTATCAATGTAAATAATTGTTATAATTGTGTTATTAATATTCATACCTAAATAGATTTTTCTAATGTTGAATTCACGAGAGTAACTTTAAAGTGTTCATAAGTAAAGTTTATCCATATTTTTAACATACAAAACGGCTGCAGAAAAAACATTGTACGTAACACGATCCAAAAGTAATTTTACGAGACTCGCAGAATTCCAGAACTCGCCTACGGCTCGCCCTGGAAACTTCCTACTCCTCTCGTAAAATATCACTTTCGGAACTTGTTACGTGAATTACTATTCTTATTTAATTTGCGTATTGCATTTTCAAATTTTACAACTGATCCTTAAAGGCAAAATAGAGGGCCGTAGAGGTGTAGGAAGAAAACAAGTTTCTTGGTTAAAAAACATTCGTGAATGGACTCAGATACCAAATGCAGGACAATTATTTCATATTGCAGAATATCGAGAAGCCTTCGCAATGGTGATCGCCAACGGGGGATAAATCTGATATGACACGCGAAGAAGAAGATTGCATTTTCAATGTCTGATAGTGTAACTAAGACATAAATAAATACAAATGAATTTCATAGTCAAAAGAAACAATTGTAACCATTGTAAAACATTTTTTTATTTCAATTTATCTCTTAAATGTGTGTTAAAGTTTCTTTACATATACAGTGGCTTGCGTATGCGGAGGTTCCGTATTGTATACAATTTTTCCATCTACTTTGTAGTCTTTGTAGGGCAGTGTATATATACAATCGAATCCCATTCTTTTAACTGCCAAAGCTGTGAAGTGGCTAGAGCATTCCACTACCATGAAACCACAGCCTCGTTCTTTACCAGCGATTCTAAAAGAAAAACAACTTTATAAGGATAATAGCAATAGCGGTTACAAAGGATTTTAGATTGTTTAACCCTTTCATATGCAGTAGGGAGGGAGTATAATTCCCACCATATATTATCACATCTACTGGCAGTGTACATCGATTTTCCCACCATTTGAGGCTGCTGCCACCTAGTAGTGATATCAGTAATCCTATAAAAAATTACTTTGAAGCTGAGGTACAGATATTTTTATTACCATTCATACTTATGTTTGAATATACGCTGTTTTGACGGTTTTTCTTTTGGATGGTTATGTTCTAGTTGTGAATAAATAATTAATTACACGAAAATTAAGGTGAGTGCTAAGGATTTAAAAATTATTTTTCTATTATTTTCATTTTTATACAGACATTCATATAAAAACAATGATGATAGAACGTATTTGACGTATGATAAATCTATATTTAGTGGGTTATATGCTTCCAACTGCCCATCCTCGTTGTTTATTTTTATTATTTTATTTTAGAAATGTGGGATCTAGACAACCCCAGATATGCTGAGGCTGCATTCATCATTTAACCCGGATCTATCCACTGCTGGATATAGGTCTCCCTCAGTCTTTTCCATGTATTTCTGTTTTGTGCTGTTTGCATCAAAGTTTTGTCGATCCGTTTTATGTCATCAGACCGTCTTGTTGGTGGACGACCTCTACTTCGATGTGCTTCTTGTCTCGGTCTCCACTTTATTATTCGCTGTGTCCATCTGTTATCCGACATTCTAGCTATGTGCCCCGTCCAGTTCCACTTAAGGGTCATAATTCTTTCTATGGCATCTGTCACTCCTGTTCTCCGTCTTATTTCCTTGTTCGTGATCCGATCCTTACGAGAAATGCCTAACATCGATCGTTCCATGGCTCTTTAAGTATATTTATTGGGTTATATGCTTCCCACCGCCCATCCTCGTTGTTTATTTTTAATATTTTATTTTAGAAATGTGGGATCTAGATAACCCCAGAGATGCTGAGGCTGCATTAGCTTATTTATATTCTTTAACTGACAATGAGGAACGTTCAGAAGAAAAAGCAGATAAAAGTGCTTTCGAAGAACTTGACAATTTGGAAAACAACTGTTGAGATTCTTCTGGTATGAATACAGCCTCTTTGGAATCTCCACATGCTCAATATTCAGGTAATTTTTCTGTCCCTCCATCCCCATTACATTTTTAACCATCTGTATCGAAAAATAGAGAAGATGAATATAATGATGACAAGTAGTATCAAAACACAAATTTATTTGACAATCTTGCACTTGATTTTTCCAAAGATGCCAATTCTGCAAACGATTTTAATATTGAAGACAAAGAAATCGATTATTTCAGCAAAATTTTTTATTTAGATATTCTGGATACAATAGTTTATCATCTAATAATTGGCAAGATACAAATCTAAAGGAAGTGAAGACCCCAATTGGAGTAATGATTATAGTGGGAATACATACACTTCCACAGCTTTCCAATTACTGATCCACTGATCCATATTTAGACGTATCAGCAATTTCGCAAGTATTTGGATCTAAGAGATACAAAAAACTAATTGAAAATGTACACCAAAACAAGAATGAAAATGCAGTGTCTCGAGGAAAACCTGGATATGACAACCTGCATAAGGTGATACCACTTGAGGAAAGGCTAAACAATACAATACAATCTGCGTATAACCACTTATCTTACTTAGCTGTTGATGAATCGATGATAACGTTAAAAGGTTGTGCCTTTTACACAAACCAACAGCATACATACTAATAAAATAGGGGAGGGACAAATTTTTTTGACACCATGAATCATTAGGATTACTTATATAATGCATTTCCTGATGCCAACCAATATGTAGCTTGGTCATTTAAAAAATAATAAACTGTTTGTTCTTGGATGTTCTTGTTGTTGGATAGCCCAAATTTGACGAAATGCTCCTGAAAATGCTCTAGGAGCGAAAGTACTTGGGCAAGATTTAATAAAATCTGTACTCGATATCTGCCTTTTATTTGATTAAAATTAACTTATATAATTGTTAACCAGTCATAGAAAATTTAATTTGCTCACGCCCATGAAAGGGTTAAACCTGATGCTAAAGGTTTAAAATTTACATGATGCTAAATATATATGCGATTTAGATATGATGTTTTTAATTATATATTTATCTAAATTACAAAATACTATAAAAAATGTGTCATTAAACTTTCTTATGATGTTACATCAAAGCGGAGACCAATAAACAACTATCTCTATATAATTGTTTGTAGTGTTATTGTGTTATTTTATTATAACAATTAACCAGCCACGAGTTTTCCTAATAATAGTTGAATAACTCGAAACACATGTAGAACAATGATGGCGTTTTAATTGACAGGAAATACAATCGTCTATTTTCATTTTAACGTCTTACTTCTCTACATAAAGAGTGAAAAAATATAGTGTTTTCAAAATACAACGAAAGTAGTTAAGGTAAGTGGGAACTCAAGAGATTAAAGCTTTGACTGTTTTGCTAAAGACTCCAGAAAGGGAGTAGAAAGCTATACTTAGAAATTTAAAATGCAAAATATGGAGATTGAGTAAGTGTGATATTAATTTCTATACTAATACTAATGATAGTTGTTTGACACACAAAATATACAGTACTTACTGCGCTCTATCCATTAGATCTTTGGCAATACCCATCCCTCTATATTTTGAATCCACCGTCAATATGCTCACTGTGATAGCTTTGTTAACACCTGGAAAGTGCTTAAACGCATCCGAATGGTCATTCATATGCATCAAAAAATTGTAAATAGTAATAAAGTCTTTATTATCACTCTCAACTTTTTCTTGTTCTCCATCCCTTTCCAAAATTGGATTTATACATAAGCCTATCATTTTTCCATTCTTCACAGCCATTGTAGATATCCCATTGTCATAGTCTTGAAGTAAATACTCTTCTAAAGGTAAATTTACAGGTTTTTCTTTACTTATGAGGTTTATCGATCTGCATATGGGTTCGTCTTTCATAAAATATTCTCGCATGAACTGTCTGACTTCCTCTCTGTCTTCTTTCTGAATTATTTTCACTTCATAGTCACAATTTGACATTTTTTAGTTAAAACCAGGTTAAAACAAATCAAAGTAAGTGAAAAGTTTTCGAAAAATTAAAAAGTCAACTTAGTTTTTATAGAAGATCAATTTTTATCTGTTTTTATATCTTAGATAAAAGTGATCTTGAACTTTAAACACATATTGCTAAAAATATGAAAACAAAATATTAATAAGTATCAGTCCATATTAACAAATTACCGAGATAAAAATTCCTTACAAGCATTTATTAACTAGAACAATTATGAAATATAAAAACTCAAAAGCAAATAATTACTGCAAAAGAGACAACAATTTCCTTATTAACCCATTCATGCCCAGAACTATTTATGCTTATTTTTTTTTATTTATGAAAATTTTATGCTCTAAAATTTAACATTCACAAAATTAACAAAAATGTATGTTTAAAAATTGAAAAACGCAACACTGGGCAGTTATGTCCACATTACTATTTAATGTATATAGTAAAGCCATTTTTGAAGAAGCATTACTATCTCAAAGTGAAGGAATAATAATTACCGGAAGATTCATTAACAACATAAGAGATGCAGATGACACCGTGATTATGGCAAGCTCTGTTGAACAACTTCAATTACTGCTAAACAAAACAAACAGTTTCTGTGAAAAATATGGACTAAAAATGAATATAAAAAAGACCAAATAATAATAATGTTTATTTACTTCCCAATATACAATATAAAACAATGTTACAATATGTTAGTTTTATATATTACAATTACAAATTCAAAGTTAAATATTTTGTACAAACAAATAATAGTTGTTAGCAAATAAACAAAGATGAACTTCCCTGATGAACCAGAGGATGTGCTCAGGGATTACACTCATTTACACTATTCAATATTTGTTCTACAGTATCATTAGGTTGATAATAAATAATATTGTTACAAAGTATACTGTATAATATTATTTATACGATGAATTTAATTAAAGAAGATCGTATTCAAAATTTCGGATCCAGTGTTCTTCAGAAATTTTGTAAAAATGGATTTAATCATGTTAAATGAATTGATTTTTCTTATATAGGTTTTATAGATCTCGGGTAAATAATTAAATATTCTAGGAATGAAGTAAGAGAAATTGTGTTTTCCAATTGATTTATAAGCACTAGTAATTTGGACATAATCATGAACTTTTCTTCTAGTGCTGTAAGTATGATCTATTGATTTTAAAACATGTTTATTTTTGTATGTAAGCAAAATAATGTTAAACAAATATAACTGTCTTATACTAAAAATATCTGCTTGCTGATAAAGAAGTTCTGAAGAATATAATCGAGATTTTTTTAGCATTATTTTCAAAAACCTTCTTTGTAATATTTCGACTTTATTTAAATAAGAAGCATATGTTCCACCCCATGCTAAAATAGCATATCTAAGACGTGACTCTATCAAAGAATAGTATATTGTCTTTAAGTAAGACAAATTAAGAATATTGCTCAGATATCTAAATTTGTATAATAGCATTCTTAGAGTTTTACATACCATATCAATATGCACGTCCGTCCCACTTCAAGTGACAATCAATATAAACTCCTAAGTATTTTATGTATTTTTTCCTATTTATTTTAATGAACGCGTTATTATAGCTTAGATTTAATTCCAAGAAGTCCGGTAAATTGTTTTTGTATATTGAAAATGGTATGAAATAAGTTTTATCAGTATTAACTGTCAGTAATTTCCTATTTAACCATTCTAGAACCTTTACAGTTTCTGTTTCTGCCAAAGTTTTAAGTTTTTCCCAAGAATTACTAGTGTAAAGTATGACAGTATTGTCAGCAAAACAAATAATCTTTCCGTTTATTTTCATTGATGCTAGATCATTTATATATATTGAAAACAGTAAAGGTCCTAAAACAGTACCTTGCGGCACACCATACTCAATGTTTTTTTTCAGCACTTACTTTGTTATTAATGTTAACAATTTGCGATCTATTTTTTAAATAACTTTAAAATAGTAAGTACGGTATGCCCCTTATTCCAAGATGATCCAAAGCACTTAACAACTGCTGATGACTAACAGTGTCAAATGCCTTAGCTAGATCCAAAAATATCGCTAAAATAGGAGAGCCATTATCCAGCATCTTATATAAATAATCAGTAGCGGACGTTATAGCATCTGTAGTAGAATATCCCTTCTTGAAGCCAAATTGGTTTGGAGACAGCAGGTTAAACTTTGTAAGATATTGATTTACACGTTCAGCTAAGGCCTTTTCAAAAATTTTTGCCAGGCTGGTAATAAGTGATATAGGACGATAATTTTGCATCAATTTTGTATCACCTTTTTTAAATATACTTATAATTACAGCTTTTTTAAAAATATCAGGACATATACAGTAATACCCCGACTTACGCTACCTCGACTTACGCGAATTCGGAGTTACGCGATTTAATTTTCTCGTCTATTCATTTTTTGTTTAAACACCGCGCAGTCAAGGCCAAGCGCCGGCGTTTGTTTCTGACTTCCTCCTCCCGCATTATTATACGTTCAGTTTACAACAGGCACAGACGTATAGTGCGGAATCGGCGCGTAGGTACATAAGCTACGATTTTGTGTTTTTTTTGTGCATTGTGCGACGACCTGAGATATTTACTATAAGTAACTATGGCATCCAAACGAAGTAGAACCGACTCTTTTGCTTTAAACAAGAAAAGAAAAACATTATCTTTGGAGTGCAAACTTGACATTATTAAAGACTACGACGCAAAACTAAAAATTTGTGATTTAGCGAAGAAGTATGATCTACAGGAATCGACAGTCAGGTCAATTACGAAAAGTAAAGAAAAAATTCTCGAAGCTGTGAAAAACGCTCAGTCTTTGAATTCAAGCATCATTCGTAAACGGCATGGTATTATCGCTGAGATGGAAACATTGTTAAAATTATGGTGTGATAATCAAGTAAGTGTGAAAAATTGTCCTGTTGATCAGAACACGGTGTGCTTTCAAGCTAAACAAATTTTTGAGAAATTAAAAGAAGAAGCTGGGGAGATGGCTAAAGATGAAACGTTTAAAGCTAGTAACGGTTGGTTCAGCCGGTTCAAAAGTCGCTGTAATTGGCATAGCATTACAGAAAGTGGAGAGGCCGCAAGTCCAAATAAAGAGGCTGCATCTCTCTATCCAGAGAAACTCAAAGCTATAATAGATGAAGGTGGCTATACCAGTCAAACCATATTCAACGTAGATGAAACTGGCCTGTTTTGGAAGAAGATGCCTAAAAGAACTTTTATTGCGCGTGAAGAGAAAACTTTTCCAGGTTTTAAGGCCGCCAAAGATCGATTGACAGTGATGCTTGGTGCGAATGCAGCAGGTGACATTAAATTAAAACCTCTCTTAGTTTATCGCTCAGGAAATCCAAGAGCATTGAAAAACAAATCTAAAGCTTGTTTACCCGTGATTTGGAAGTCGAATCGTAAAGCTTGGGTGACGGCCTCCCTTTTTGAAGACTGGTTTAGTCATCACTTCATACCTGAAGTCGAACGTTATTGCCAGTCTAAACAAATCCCGTTTAAAGTGATGCTATTAATCGACAACGCGCCAGGTCATCCTCCTGCTACTTTAACTAGTTTCGACCCACGTGTGAAAGTTGAGTTTTTGGCACCAAATACAACCAGCTTGCTTCAACCGATGAACCAGGTAGTTATCAAAACATTCAAAGCTTATTACACGAGACGATCGTTTGCACATCTGCATAAAGCTATGAGACAAAACAACGAGCTCTCTGTTAAAGAATTTTGGAAAGAATTCAACGTTTTAGAAGCAGTGAGAATCATTGGAGAATCTTGGGATGAAATTTCACAAAAAACTTTAACTGGCGTCTGGAAAAAACTCTGTCCATTTTTTTTCTCCACTGAGACTCAGGCGGAATCAGTGCCAGGGCCTGATGAAATTTGCAATGTGATCAAAGACGTTGTCGAACTTGGTAGACAAATAAATTTAGAAGTAGATAGTGATGATATTCGAGAGCTGTTGGATTCATACAATGAGGAGCTTACAATTGATGAGCTCATAGCAATGCGTGTACAAGAGGAAGAAATTAATAATTATGATTCTTTGGACCCAGTTTGAACGAGTACAAAATTACAATTACCTCGGAACAAATATTAACGAGACAAACGAATACACCAGAGAAATAAGAATAAGAATAGAGAAAGCCCGTAGTGCATTTAACAATATGAAACAAATGTTGTGTAGCCGTAACCTAAGCCTAAAGCTGAAAATAAGAATGCTTAAATGTTATTTTTTCTCGGTCCTGTTATATGGGGTGGAGGCGTGGACACTAAATAAGCAATGTATGGGTAAGCTGGAGGCATTTGAGATGTGGGCGTACCGAAGAATGTTAAAAATCTCCTGGAAGGATAAGATAACTAACCAAGTTGTATTAGACAGGATGAACAAACAAAAGGAGGTCGTATTGAGTGTTAAAATGAGGAAACTACAGTACCTGGGACATATTACACGTGGGAATAAATATCAACTGTTACAACTAATTATGCAAGGAAAGATTGAAGGTAGGCGCAGCATAGGTAGGAGAAGAATGTCATGGTTGAGAAACCTCAGGGAGTGGTTTGCTTGCACTTCCATACAATTGTTCCGAGCGGCAGCCTCCAGGGTCAAAATTGCCATGATGATAGCCAACCTTCGTAGCGGAGATGGCACGTGAAGAAGAAGGACCCAGTTTAATTAGAAGATCAAATGACAGTTGGAAACTTGACAGAAGCCCTCAGTTCGATTGAAAAAGGGTTAACCATTTTGGAAAGCATAGACTCCAATGAAGAGCGCATTTTTGTTACAAAACATGGAATAAAAAAATTACTAGGATGCTACGAGGAGATATTACGAGAAAAGAAAAAATCATTGACTCGTCAGACGACTTTGTTACAATTTATGAAACCTTCTACATCAAAATAACTTCGGATTGTGTTTGTACACTTTATTAATTTAGTTTGTCATATGATCTAGAAATAGATTGTACTAATTATTTCCTAAATTATTGTTTTATTTAGTCTCCCTTCCCACTTAAACATACTTTGTATGTCTTTATATGCAAAATTGTACCCTGACTTACGCGAATTCAACTTACGCGGATAGCGCTCAGTCCCACCTATCGCGTAAGTCCGGGGTATTACTGTACCATGTTCAAATATTTTATTTATTAAATCAGTTATCGGATCAACAATATAATTACTAATGATCTTTAACAGATCGGCGGAAATATTGTCTATGCCAGGAGACTTTTTTGGTTTTAGGGAATGAATAATAATCTGAATTTCTGATTTTGTTACAGGTTTTAGAAAAAACGTACTATATGTTTTTTTTGGAGGATCAGGAGAAGATGATATATTAATATTTTTAGCAAGCGTGCACCCTACATTAGAAAAATAATCATTAAACATATCGCTAATATTCTGACTATCAGTGATTGCCTTATTATTTTGATTTAAAATGGAATAAATTTCACTTTTTGTACTGTTATTATCCAATTTTTTAATAATATTCCACAGACCTTTAAAACTATTTTTATATTTTGTAATTTCCGTGTGAAAATATTTTTTTTGCCTCAATAATTAGCTTATTTAATTTATTTTTGTAAATTGTGTATTCTTTTTTTAATGTTAGGTCATCTGGGTTGTTCATAAATTTTCTGTAAAGTTGATTTTTTTTATTAACCGATTTTACTAAGCCGTCTGTCATCCAGATATTTCGCTTAACCTCACATTTTTTTTTCTTTATTTCTTTGGTATTTTTATTGATTAATGAAATAAGGGTGTCGGTAAAATTATTTAAGAAAGCATTAGGGTTATTCGTATTAGAACAGTGATCCCAATTTTGAAGACTAAGATCTCTTTTTAAATCATAATTAACTATTTTTCTAAACTTAATTTTGCATTCAATTTTATTTTTTTTCAAAAGAAAAACTTACAAATGTTGCTTTATGATCAGTCACAGAAAGATCCAGAACAGCTGGTAAAACATTATTACTAATACAAAACTTACTTTTTACAAAAATGTGGTCTATACAACTTCGAGAATCGCCCTGAACTCTAGTACTTTTATTTATTAATGATAAAGAATTATGTTCACTCAATATACTTAGATACTCAGAAGAATCTGGTGCCATGTTTTTGATATTAATATTAATATCACCCAATAAAACATAATATTTACAAATATAATTTTTAGTGCTCTCTAAATATTTATCCAGACCAATGCAAAAATGTACTTCATCCGTCGATGGCGGTCTATAAATTAATGATAATATTGTATTTTGATTATATTTACCTAATATAGTTATCTCTAATACCTTACATACACTAATGTTTACAATCCTCCACGTAAAATGCATGATAATAACAAAGAAAACAAATATACCAACAAACATACATTTGGGAAATGTACCGATAGAAAGGGTTGATAAATACAAATACCTAGAAACCTGAATTTCAGACAATAATGATCAAACAACCGAAATAAGATTTAGGATAGAAATAGCAAGAAATGCGTTTGTAAAAATGAAAACAATTCTGTGCAACAAAGATCTTAAGAGTACTGAGATGCTCCGTGTTTTCGATACTGAAATATGGACTTGAAAGCTGGAGATTGAAGCCAGAACACATAAATAAGTTACAGTCCTTTGGAATGTGGTGTTACAGGAGGATGCTTAGAATAGCATGGACACAGAAGAAAACTAACACGAAAGTATTGCGAGAAATGGGCAAAGAATTCGAAATAATAAACACAATAAAAATAAGAAAGTTACAATACCCTAAGCACGTAATGAGGAAACAGTGATATGAACTGCCAAGGCTAATAATACAGGGAGAGATAAGAGGAGAAAGGAGTATAGGAAGAAGGAGAGTGTCATGATTGAAGAATTTAAAGGACTGATTTAAATGCAGTTCTATAGAACTCTTCAGAGCAGCAAAAAAAATAAAAATACATTCTTTGGAATGTTTTATTAAATCATATAAAAGTATTTTAGATAAACTGACGTTAAGATACATTCTATGTAATTATGTTTATAGAAGATTGAGATGGACCAGGTCTTCTTAGAGAAGTTCCGATCATCGTCAACAAGGCTTTGGCTATATTTCGGCAAAACTGCAGCAAATCCATTTCAGGTTCTTCTTCTTCTTAGGGTGCCTGTCCGTTCCGAACGTTGGCGATCATTCTGGCTATTTCAGGTTGTTCAGGGATAATGTGGCTCATTTGTATGGAAACATCAAGACCCCAGCTAAATAAAGGCCAATACCTTTTCTTGGATCTTTTATTTGTTCTGTAATAGGCAACATTTTGATCCATCCGATCAGTTCCTCCCACGTTTTCGTTATAAGCCTGAATAAGATGTGGTTGTGCTACTTTGATTTGTTTGATTTGGGCTAAATGTTCGCTTAATAAACTCGCGTCGTTTTATGGTAATTCGATGCCAAAGTAACTATGCTGTTGTCACGTCATTTTAAACGTTTCACTGAATGGACACTTCTCTGTTCTATTTGATTGTATGGTTCCTACGTAACCTATTACCTTCGATAAAAAAAATCAATTAGTTTTATAGAGGTGAAATAATTATCAGCATATAAGCAATGAGGCATAACTCTATCGCATTGAATTTTAGGAATAAGTTGAGCAAACTGCAATATTATTCCAACTCCAAGGTCAAATTCTTTTTTGAATTCATTAGATTTTCAGTTGGCTCCTTAATAAATATTGAAATCTATAAGGTAACCATATTTCTGATTTTATACGCCACGATTTATACCCGAAACGTATGAGCTTACCTTTTTTATATGTTGTTTCATACCATGACGCCCATAGTATGGTCACAGTGTAAAGAGGTTCCATCATTGAGATGTAAAACTTGCGCAATACCGTTGATATTTTAAATACCGTTGAAAAATGTAAACATTGAATTGTAATATTGTTTTTTATTCATTAAACCTTTTGTTTTTGTAATATTAACATTAAGCCGCATTTTTTATTTTAATAAATAATGGTAGTAGGCTCAGAAAGTTTTAATACGGCTCTGTAAGGTTTACCAAAGGAGCGTGCTTGCTCCGCCGCATCTACCACTGGTGAATTATTATTTTCGTACTTTGCCGGCACTACTTCCTGAGATCAAAGTGCCGACAAACGAGTGGTTTTACTGTGGAACCTCTTATACTGTGGTATGGTGTGGTATGGTCTTTGGTATGATATTATGACCTCATCCACGCTACAATCGGTTTTCCATACAGTGTATTCAGTAAATGATTTGTGGAGATTTTCAAGGTACGGAGAAATTTTGTATGTTTGTCTGAACGATCTATATTTATAGCATTAAGTGAACAAATATACTGAATAATTTTAATACCTTTGATAGCCATGAATTTTAAGTAAAAAAACTTTTTTAACTTTGTTCTCAAATCCAATGTCATTGACTTTAAGATTAGAAGCCATATTTGGAGAAGCATTAACAAAATCTTTAAAGCTTTATTTAATGAAAAAACACTAAGCTGGGTAATAAATTTACTAAATTCATCTACGGGTTCAGGTTGTCCAAATTGGAGAAATTGAAGTTTGTATCACGAAAATTTAAGAAAGGAACACGAAGACCGTGTACATATCACACATTTGCATCGGAGCTATTTTTTCTTCGTTTATATAATCGTCTTGTATTAGGGATGACAAAAAAACATTTTAAAAAGGGTAGTATAATTTGTTTAATTACAGGTACAATGTATTACAACTGAAAACATTTATTATATTGGTGCATACGTATCATATTTTTAATTATTTATGTGGTGTATTTAAGATCATATTTATAAAATATATAAATACTTATATTGTAAACAAAGTAGAAAAAAAGGCATACAATTTTTCAACTATACAATTTTGTATTCTTCCACATTAATTTAAAAATAATGTAAAATCTATAAAAGAATTTCGTCACAGCTATGAATCACATGAAGTCACTTTTTAAAGATTTTAAAGATCTCATTTCTTGTACTCATAGTTGACTTTATTGCCTTTTGTAATTGTCCAGATATCGGTTCTGTATGCCAGGAGTTTTGCAATTCATCTACTACCATATATATTTTCTAATATCTATTAAGTAAGTTAAGATAAGTTGGAGACCGTGGGAATATAAACGAAGCAGAGGAAGGCCCCAAATGAGATGGGCAGATGATATCAAGAAGCACGTGGGCTCTAGATGGATGACTGTAGCGACAGACAGAGAAGAATGGAAAAGGATTGGGGAGGCCTATGTCCAAAGATGGACCGAAGAAGGCTAATTAGATAGATAGATTAAGTAAGTGTAGTACGGTAACAGACGGCAAGACCTACGCTTCCAGTGGGAAGACTTTAACTTTAATCTTCTTCTTCTTATAGTGCCGTACACCTATATTGCGTTGGCGAATTATCTTAAAGCCAGAAGTCTGTCTTTTACGGCATGCAAAAGATCGCCAGTGTTATTTATGCCTGTCCAGTTCTTTATGTTTCGTAGCCATTTGTTTGCGACCTACTCCTCTCTTGCCTTCAATCTTTCCCTGGATGATTAGTTGAGGGACTACGTATTTTTTTCCTCTCAGAATATGGCCATGGTATCTAATTTTTCGTACCTTGATCAAATTGAATAGTTCTCTCTCAGTATTCGCCTTTCTTAAGACTTCCTCGTTTCTCACCCTATCTGTCCATGGTATGCGGAACAATGCAAGGTACTCTTAACGTCCAAGTTTCCATGCCGTATAACAATATGGACCATACACAGCATTTAACCATCCCGTAGCAAAGATTAAAGGAAATATTGCGGTTACATAGTAGCGGTTTAAATTTGTTAAAGCTTGTCTTGCTTGTTCGGTACGGCATTTTATTTCTTGTTGAGGATCCCATTGGTCATTCATCATCATTCCCAAGTATTTAAACGTTTTTACTTGATCGATTGGAGCATTATCTGCTTGTAGTTGTATACTTTAATCAGTTAAGCGAATTTGTACGAATTAGGATTATAAAACTGAAGATAGTTGCTATAAATGCATCCATGATACTTCGTGTTTGGAATGACTGGGTGATAGAGCAAAATCAAAAAATGTTAGGTAACCCAAAACTTCATTATAAAACAATATACTTTTATTAGATAGCGATAACCAAACTAACAACAAGAGATAATGAGATATTACATAACAATGCTTTAGGTATGATATGGGCATAAAATTTCTTGCTAGAGATTGTTTTGTATTTAGTTACCTATAATTGGATCATGTTTAATATGCAGTAAACTTTTGATTTATGCGGTTAATATGTCTTAATCAGAAAGTGCGGACCATTTTACTCCTTTTCTTGATTTTATGACAGTTCTATCCTTAAAAATCTCGTAACGTGCAACCTTCAATATATTTATAAAACATTGATGTGACGACTAACTATTACCAGATTTTTTGGTTCTACTACATTACTTAATTACTAGATATGATAAGCTGTTCACCAAACAATCTTAATAAAAACAAAATGCACTAGTGGCAATATGCGTATCAAACAAGGAAATTAGATGAAGCCACCTTGCACAATCTGGTATCGAAACTCGAGAGGAGTTTACAACAGAAATAAGTCTGCTGCATTTTTGAGCATCGAAGGTGCATTTGATAATATCTCTATCGAGTCAATGCAACAGTCAATACACTAATAAAGAAAAAAATCAACGACTCAACAAGCATGTGAATCATTCAGATGGTTCAGAATAGAATAATATTCACAGATACATATAAAGATGCTATAAAGCTAATAGCAACTAAAGGATGCCCACAAGAGGATGTATTATTACTAATATTGCGGAATATAGTCGTTGACGATCTGATTCATGCGCTCAGCAACCAATAAGTAATTATGGATCCTGATAAATGATATTGTAATAGTTACTAGGTAAAAATTTTCCAGTAGTGTTGCGGACCTGATACGATTTTCCCTTTATAACATAGAAAATTTGTATCTGAAAGAGGTCCTCTGCATTGCAATTCTGCAAACACCAAATACAGTAGAGTGTCGATTACCCGAACTAATTGGGGAACATATGTGTTCGGAAAATCGATTGTTCATAAATATTTATGTACAGATTAATGGAAGCCATATTTACATACGTATTTATATATTTAATGATAAATAGGAATTGAACAAAAAAAGTGCTGTTCGTCATCAAAACAAAGTCTAGGTACAACATTGATGAAAATTGAAGATTTTTTAAACCTTAATTACCAACACTAGGTCGTTATGAGTGTCTAGGTCAAGTGTTTTTTTAAGGACAAATACTTGATACTAGTCGCTCTCAGCTTGTATTTCAAATCAACATAAGGCAATATCTATAAAATTGAACTCTCCTCAAGCACCAATTGTATTTTATCTTTATTATCTAAACTTACATTTAATGACTAATAAATCAGCAGACAGTTTTCTTCTTGCCTTCTCGACTTTAGTCATTTTAACCACACTGTTCTTGATTGAACTTTTTTTCAAATCCTCTGAGTTATTCGTTGAATTGAACTGCTTTTTCTCATGAAATCGGTCCAGAAATAGGTTCTTCCCGGAATCCCTTCTTTGAGTAATTTTTACTTATACACTTATACACAGTATGATCTAAATCCACGTTTGAGGCAAGGTTTATTGTTTTACGACTTATGGATATATGAAAACAATCAAGTTGGGACATAAAGTTACTTAATTTCATCTTTTGTTTTTACATCCGTCTTACCAGGTTACCAATTTTGTATTCATTGGATAATTTGGTGACAGATTTACCTTTCTCTAACCGTCTGAATGCCAAGAAGACGAAATTTATGAGAATATCGAAAACTCAAAGAAATAACGAGAATCTTCTAATAAACGGAACCAACGTCAAACCAGTGGACAAATATGCATATCGGGGAATAATGATTACAATCCACAAATTATTACAATCAGGAAATCAAAATAAGAATAGAAAAGGCTAGAACAAATTTCAACAAAATGAGAAGAGTGCTATGTACCAGGGATTTAAAACTCTAACTAAGAGGTTGGCGAGGTGCTATATTGTTTCGATTGTATTTTATGGAATGGAATCTTGGGCCTTAAATGCGACATCAATAAAAAAAACTGGAATCATTTGAGCTGTGGGTGTACAGAAGAATACTGAAAATATCATGGACAGAACACGTCACAAAAAAAGAGGTTCTGGGAAGGATGAATAAAGAAATGGAAATTTTAAATACAATAAAAACAAGAAAATTAGAATATCTCGGACATATTACACGTGGAGAGAAATACACCTTGCTCCAACTGGTTATGCAGGGAAAGATCCAAGGAAATAGAATCATAGGGAGGCGTAGAATGTCATGGCTGCGTAACCTGAGAAAGTGGTACGGATGTACATCAAATGAAGTTTTCAGAGCAGCCGTCTCAAAAGTCCGAATAGCTACGATGATTGCCGACCTCCGCCGCGGAGATGGCACCACGATACACAGACTAAACGGTATGCCGATTTTCGTCGATAAATGTGGTTCGGCCGCGCAGCTACGTCAAGTGGGAACCTGATGTGGGAACCTAAAATTTATTTGCTCCTTGTCGTGCTTGTCTGCAGTTTCAATTTGTTGGCGTTGAAAGTGATTAAATTGAGGCGGTTTTAAAATATTAAGCTGTTAAGTAACTATTAAAGTCATTCTGGATTATTTTAGTTACACATTATTGTTTATTAGTACTTATCCAATACCGTGAATTTTTAACTTAAGTTAGTAGTCTATTAAAACCGAGACTATAATGCCGGGCTGTGCTGTAGCTACTTGTAAAAATTCAAACAAAAATACAAAAGGTACGGATGTGAAATACTACAGATTTCCTGCAAATGAAGATTTATTAAAAGAGTGGATAAATGCTTGTCGGAGAGAAGACAAAATTAATTTAAAAAATGGTTAGTACAGTTAAAACTCTGGGGAAAAACTCTGCTGCTATTTTCACAGAAAATCGCAATACGATTGAGACTGCTGAATCGTGTTTACTAAATGTATTGGAAGAAACTAAACAAACCGAAGAGATTTGTTTTACACATCAAATGCTCTCAAAAATTCTACCACGAAACCAAACAGTGGAGGAAAAAAATGAGGAAGAAGAAGTTATTTCTAACTCAACTTATTTTGTAGACCCTGTATATTTACAAGAGGAAGCAATAGCTTCAGATGAATTAATAAATCTTTTGGACAATTTTGAAGTTAAGGAGAGAGTAAATATGGAGGCACTAAGATATATAGCTGGATATGTGGCTTTTAAATTTAAAAGTAAATTTTCAAATTTAGGTATAGCCACAAGTAATTTAAATATTTCCGAAGTCCCTAGGTGGCTAGAGATCCTATCAAGAGGTTCACTGTTAAACCCCAATGAAGAATTGTGGGAAGTTGCCAAAAATATGGAAAATCAGTTCCACCAAATGCATGGTAATTTTTTAAATAAAGAAAAGAAGATTTTTCAACGTTTAGCTGAAAAAACATTAGCGTCACTACCCAACACCTCAATACCATTTGAAGTGATATTATGTATGTGCAAACACGAACATATATTAGAATGAGGGACATTAATATAGAAAAATAAGCTTTAAAAACTGCCAGAGAGCACTTGACAAAAAGATATCTAAATTTTCTAATTTTAAAAAATGATCTAATTATAGATACTAATTCTAATTCTAGAAGGGCATATGAAAAACTCAGAAAATATGCAAAGAAAATATGAAGAAGGAAAAAGAGAGAAACGTTAAATAGAAAAAGACAACAAAGTTTGAATTATTAGTCAAATTTAAGTTTTTATTTTTAATCAAATTTTTTTCAACAATTTAGAATAACAGTAAATAAACACAATTTTATGTGAATTTTATGTGAAACATTTTTACAGACCCAAAAGTAAATTGAATGTTTATATCAATTTTGTTTTATTTTTTTAATATATCGTGGTAAATGTATATTGGACAAAAGATAAAATCTTCATTTTTCAATGGAAATTCATTTTTAAATAAAATGCATATTGGAAAATGGCAGTAAAAAGAATATAAAATACAATTTCTTATTTAAAAAGCGATGATAGGTACATACTTTTAAAATTCAAACAATATTACCGCTTGATTTAGCATTGCCGAATGAAAATAAGGTTCCCATCTGACGTCACGCGTTCGCCTTTCATGCGCAAGAACATACCGGTAGTCTGTGTATCGTGGATGGCACTTAAAGAAGAAGAACCGTTTATTGATCCCACAATTATCTTTCATAGAAAGGACGAAACGTTAACGTTAGGGATTTTCAATAGTAGAGAGTTAAAGTGCAGGTGACACGTAAACGTTAACACTAACGTAAACGTAAAGATATTACGTTTACGGACACTATACGTTTTAGCTGTGAAGTGTAAAACGTTAACGTCTAACGTGTGTTTCTAACCTTACTTTTACTCAAATTTGTTGTGGATTAATTACAAATTTGAATGATTAGACAGTGTCCTTTTATATTTTTTTCCTGGTTTGGTTAGTTTTTTATGAAATATTTTGATTGCTTTTACAGCAGAATGGAAGATATCTTTAATATTTGAAATGTGTGGGGAATCTGACTTCGAGGATGATGACATGTACGATGCTGTACTTCTACATGTATTTGGTAATAACTTATTGGAAAATTGATATCCGTCATTTTTTTTTTCGATTTTTTTCACTATTTTTAGATTACAATAATACAAACAAAAGATGAATCTTTGGTTAAAATCACAAAATAACAAAAAGTTTTTAATTTTCGGAGATTTGACAGAAATTCGGTAATACTCGGAACTATCGGAACAATTTGGATAATGTTAAGGGAATCCGTAAACGCACGCAAGGTTACGGAGACCCGTTAACGCAAACGTATGTATTCCTCTACTGCGCACGAGTAGCTGTCAAATTATACGTTAACGTTAACGTTTTGCCCTGCACTTTAACTCCCTAGTGTTAACGAGACAAGTAGGGAGTTCGGATAACCCGTCGTTCGGTTGATCGACGTTCGGATAATCGACGCTCTTCTGAATCCTAATATATAACAAGAACAGTCCTAAAAATGATTCTGTAAAATATCTTGGATTAAGCTTTGGATCTGGATGAAGAATAAGCAATCAGGAATCAAATTCAAAAAAATTCTACTGGTTACTCGGCTGTAAGCCCGTAACAAAATTATGTAACAAAATATTAGTATATAAAGAAATCATCCACACCATCTGGACATACGATATTAAACTGAAGAGAACTGCAGCAGATAGCAACATAGCAATACTAGAGCGATTTCAATCTAAGGTTCTTCATATCATCACTTATGCGCCGTAATCCATTCCAAATGCACACATTTACACGGACTTGAACCATTATCATTTGAAGATAACGTGGCTGAAAACTTTCGGCGACTCCAACAGTTAATTGAAATTTACCTCTTGGCCAGTGACAAGGCCACACAGTAAAAATTGCTCTACCGTTAAATTTTTTTGGAGATGAAGGACTTGATGTGTTTAATACCTTAAAGTTAACGGATACACAGAGAAAATCGTATGATACAGTAGTGGATGAATTAGAGAATTACTTCACCCCTAGAAAGAATGTGATCTACGAAATATTTTTATTCTACAATAGAAAACAAGAGGAAGGAGAACTATTTGATACTTACCTAACTAACTTGCGTAAATTGGCAAAAAAATTGTGAATTTGTTCTAGACTCAATGATCAGGGATAGACTAGTTTTAGGAACAATCAATAAAGATCTACAAGGAAAAGTGTAGCTGAATCATGAGTTAACCTTACAAAAGGCAATAGACATTTGTAAAGCATATGAAATTTCAAAAATACAGTTTAAATAAGTTCAGTCAAGTCAAACACTTAATATTCATTCTGTAAAAGGAGGAAATGGTAATCAAACAGCAAGGGGTAACTTTCGAATAACAACTTTAATACTGGTAGAAGCAAAAAATGAGAACAAGAGGAAAACTCAAGGAAAAGTGGTCAGTGCAGAAAATATGGTCGTGTCCATGCGCTCCAAAGATGTCCAGCATTTGGTAAAATGTGCAATAGGTGTTTGTATTACAACCATTTCGAGAAAATGTGTAACAACAGGATCGTAAGAGAAGTTCAGGAGATTCAAGAAGTAGATACTTACAGTAAACAGAAAGAACTTATGGTAACATCAATTGAGGCAAATGAAATAAAAGGAAATAAGGAATGGGCTGAAAGGTTAGTTATTGAGCAATATGGAATAGACTTTAAAATAGATACAGGTTCAGAGGTTAACATTATATCAATCAACTTTTTGAATAAAATCAATTAAAATCATGAGATAAATCAGTGCAAAATAAAGTTAGAAGCTTATGGGGGATTGAAGATAAGACCTGTAGGTATTATTTGCCAATTTTAGGTTTAAATACCAACGTAAAACTTTGGTGATATTGATGGATGTCTCATCTATTTTGATGATCTTTTAATATTTGCAGATAGTCTTAAATAACATGACAGAATCCTTAATAAATAATTAGAACCTGCTAGAAATATTGCAGTAAAATTTAATCCTAATAAGATACAGTATAGAATGTCTGAAGTATGAGAAGTGACTTACATAAAGTTAAATAAATTTGAAAGATCCCAATAATAAAAAAGAGTTGCAAAGAATACTGGGCATGATCAATTACCATCGCAATTTTATACCAAATTTATCGGATATATCAGCTCCATTAAGAGAATTGTTAAAAAAAGAATACAGTTTGGATGCGGACTAGAAGTCACACACACACACACTCATGTAATTTAATAAAAAAGTTAATTTACTCACCACCAGTTCTTGCAAATTTTGATGAAAATATTCCAATAATAATTCAAACAGATTCAAGTCAAAATGGTGTTGGATATGTATTATTACAAAATCTTAAACCTGTATCTTTTGCTTCTAGATCTTTAACTAATTGTGAAACCAGATTTAGCCAGATTCTTCTTCTTCACGTGCCATCTCCGCGACGGAGGTTGGCAATCATCATGGCTATTCTGATCTTAGATGCTGCTGCTCTGAATAGTTCAATTTATGTGCATCCGTACCATTCCCTCAAGTTATGCAACCATGAGATTCTTCTTCTTCCTACACTTCTCTTGCCCTGGATTTTCCCTTGTATAAACAATTGAAGTAGGTTGTATCTCTCATTACGCATAACATAATACTTCCATTCTTTTCTTGATTCTTCTCAGGACTTCGTTGTTTGTCATATGCTCGGTCCATGATATCTTCAGGATTCTTCTATACACCCAGATTTCAAATGCTTCCAACTTTTTAGCAGTCAACACGTTAAGTGTCCATGCTTCCCTCCCATAAAGCAGAGTCGAGAAAATATAACACCTTGCCAGCCTAACTCTCAAGTCCAATTTTAGTTCTCTTGCACAAAGTACCTTTCTCATTTTATTGAAGTTTGTACGTGCTTTCTCTATTCGAACTTTGATTTCTTTGGAGTAATCGTTTGTGTGATTAATTGTCGTATTTAAGATAGTGGTAGTTTTCAACTTGTTCTAAAGCACTACCTTCAGATTTTTTAGCCAGATTAAAAAGGAACTAAATACAATCCTATTTTCTTGTACTAAATTTAATAATTAAATTTATGGTAGAGAAGTTAAAGTTTTCACAGATCATAAGCCATTGATTTCGATAATGAAGAAAGGCATAGCAGAAGTAGACTCTCCTAGACTACAAAGTTTGAAGGTGAAATTATTAAAATATGACTTAACTGTAGAATATAAGCCAGGCAAGGAAATGCTGATAGCTGATTTGTTATCCCGAAATTTTTTGAAGAAAAAGGTAGAGGATGATGCTTTTGTAACGGAAATAGTGCATACATTAAATATAACAAAAGAAAGGAGTGAGGAATTTATAGCTGAAACTAAACAGGATAAGAAACTTCAAATAATTAGAGATTTTTGTGAAAAAGAGTGGCCATCATGTGCATCGAGGGTACCTTACATAGTAAAAGATTATTTTAATAATAGGAATGACGTTTACTCATTAAATGATTTGATGTTTTATAGGGACAGAGTTATAGTTCCGGATTCTTTGCGGCATACGATGTTAAAGTTCCTTCCTGAAACACACTTTTGGGTTACAAAAACACAGCAAATAGCGAGACAGGTATTGTTCTGGCCAAATACCAATAAGGACATAGTGGATTTAGTTAGAAATTGAGTTGATTGTGAAAAATATCCGAGAAATAATGTTAAAGAGCCGTTAATACTAAAAGAGAAATTTCAGATCTGCCATTTCAAATGATAGCGGCTGATATTTGTGAATTTGGAAGAGCATCTTATTTAATTGTAATGGATTATCTTACAAAGTGGATTGAAATTGTTCCACCAAAACATCCCAGGCAATAAAAAATTCGCTTAAGACTATGTTTGCCACTCATGGGATTCCTTTGGAAGACGTATCTGATAATATCTGTATCTGAAGTATCTGAAGTCTTTCGGCTCTAAGGAATGTCGAGAATTCTCTAAGGAATGGAACTTTAAATTTGTAACATCTATCCCTAGATATTCTAGAGCAAATGGACAGGCAAAACGAGCCGTCCAGATAGCTTAAAATATTTTCAGGAAGTGTGATCTTCTCACACTGCTATTAGAATCAGATAAATCCCCAGCACAACTATTGAACGGTCGTAGACTTAGAGGCAAACTTCCAGTTTTACATGAAAAATATTTACCAGAACAGGTAAACCTAAAAAATGATAAGGACAAATTTGATAATAAAAGGAAATTGTACAAGCACTAAGTACTATTATAGAAATAAAGTTACAAAAGAAGAATTAAGTGTAGGGGATAATGTGGTTATAAGAGAAGATGGGCAATAAAAACCTGCTGTGGTTAGACGATGTTTACAAGAGCCAAGATTGTTAATAATATGCCTAAACATCATATTAACCTAGCAGATTAACCTTAGAATGTTTTTATTCTTAGTTCATTGTTATAAGTTCTATGTTTCATTCTAAGGAAAATATGTTATGAGATTGAATAGCTGATGAAAATAAAGTCCTGACAAAACTATGACATGGGACAGGCGGCAGAAGGTTTCATGGCAAAAATAGAGATTAAGTACTTTAGATTAGGTCATGATGATACTGTATTACTGAAAGTAATAATAATAAAGATGTACAACAGTGTCAACAGTCCATATTAAACATTATTACAGTGTCGACTGCCCACACTACGCTCGCACTGATGGTTGTCTCGCTGTTTATCATAACCGAACTTTATTGTAATTCTCGGTATTCTTGAACCATTAATTCGACAAATTTGTGTGTATATATCTAACTATCGTATCAATTACGCTTTGATTTGTGATGTACCTACTCTGAAACGGAATATACAAATGAAAATGTAATTAGGGTTGTGGATTTAAGTAAAAATAAGTTGCACCAACCGGCAATACGTCTACGTCCATTTTGGTTGTGCCAAGCAGGCATGACGCAAATATTTGGCATGTTTGGCTCGCCGGTACAAGTGTGGAGTAGCGTATTTTTTATTCGCTGACGAATATCAAATATTTGGGCTAATACAACAAAGCCAGAGTCGGAGGAAATAACACATAGCGAAGTGTGGTGCCGCCATAAAAGATTTTATTTTAAAGAAAATAAAAAAAACTAGCCCGCTGAAGTTTCACTAATTCAACATAGGTAGTGACAACATACATAAAAGGATGTGTCAAATTCCTTTCTTTATCAAACTGCTCAGAATCCAATTTCCCATGAAGACTTTGATTGCCGTATTAAAAACATTCCTTGAGGAGTTAAGAAATGTTTTACCTTGAAAGGAGCTTCTAATCATTACTAAAATTCTGGACAAAGAATCATGAAACTGTTTTGGAACTTTGATTATTTGATGTACTTGTACAACCTTTTATTTGCACCAAATATATAAAAATATTTTCTTGTTTGAAGCGTGTTACATTTTCAATTTCTGGTAGTGTAACTAAGACATAGTGTAAAACTGTGTAAGGTAAATAATGTAATAATTTGGAAGACAGTTTTTTATCTAAAATTGGTCTCTTAGATGTGTGTTAAAGTTTCTTCACATACACAGTGGCTTCCGTATGCGGGGGCTCCGTATTAAATACAATTTTTCCATCAACTTTGTAGTCTTTGTAGGGCAGTGTATATATACATTCGAATCCCATTCTCTTAACGGCCAAAGCTGTGAATCGGCTGGAGCATTCCACTACCATGAAACCACAGCCTCGTTCTTTACCAGCAGCTCTAGAAGAAAAACAAGATTAAAATTTTTATAAAAAGAATGGGAGCAGACAGTTACAAAGAGTTTAAAATTGTTTAAATATGTTAGAAATCTATTTTTGTTAACAGTCTTAATTTATATAATGCTTAATTTATGTTTGAGTTAGATATGGTGTTGTTAATTATATATTTAATTAATTATGAAATACTATAACAATGTCTTCATAATAAAAGGAAGGACAAGTCAAACCAAGTCAAATATTGGTGAAAGGAAAAAATACAGAAAGTTACTTGCAATAAGACATACAGTACGTTAACAAAAGTTTCCAATGAAAATTACCAAAAAACAACACAGATTGAAAAAGAAACAGAACAGAAATTATACAGCTGCTATTTCTAAGGTAGTATGGAATGACAACGGGTTGCTTAATTATTGGCAAGAACTGCAAGCAGTCCTTGACATTGAATCAATTGATTTCTCTTGTTCCTGACACGCATTTCACAAAACAGCCCTACATTAGATTTAAAGGATAAAGGAAAAACAGTCCTACATTAAATTTAAAAGATACAAGCTATATGACACAATACATCTTGATAATGCCGCCAAAGGATGCAAAGCAATTATCATCAAAGATAATATATGTCATCATGAAGAGTTGGAATATAAAACTGAATATATTCAAGCCATTGACTAAGAGAAAGCATTTGATACCATAGGCCATCAGAAAATGTTAAAAGCATTGACAGAATCCCAAATAGACCATCGCTACACTAACATAATCAAATATATCCACCAAAATGCCTACAAATAAATTCTGTATACAGCGAGGAGTACGGCAAGGAGACACAGTCTCTCCAATGCTATTCAGGATGCTTTTAGAACATACTTGTAAGAAGGCACATCTAAACGAACGTGGTATCAACATAAATGGAGAGAAGCTCAGTCATTTGAGATTTGCAGATGACATCTTACTTATAGCCGATCGTATGGATGATGCAATAATATTGTTTGAAAAATTATATCATGCTTCCTTGAAGCTTGGACTAAAGATTAATATGAACAAGACGCAAATAATGACTAATCTGGTGCTAAATCGAAATATTGCTGTTGATGGAAGAGATATTGTGCAGATTACATCGTATAAGTACCTATGACATGAAATTCGGTTGGGCAGAGATAACCCTTATGGTATCACCCTTCAGAGCTCCCAAAGCTTTATATACCTGGGCAGAGAGCTAAACAGTCTCTGTGCTCTGTAACTGCTCTGTAACCCCAAGCTATCAATCACAATAAGGTTAAGCACACTAAAGTGTTATGTGTGGTCTCTACTATTATATGGCTGTGAGACCTGAACATTAAAACAGTATGACGTCAACAAACTGACTTCATTCGAAATGTGGATGTACCGCCGAATGCTAAGAATAAGCTGGACCAGCAAAACTACAAATGAGGAGGTACTGGAAATAATGAACACACGACCTCATCTGGTTAATACAATCAAAATTAGAAAGACGTCATATCTAGGACACATAATGCGCCATAAGGAATTTGAGCAGCTGCAGGTAATATTAGAAGTCAAAATCGAGGGTAATAGGGGTATAGGAAGAAAGAAGAAATCCTGGCTCCGAAACATCAGAGATTGGACTCACACAACAGGAAATGACTTAATCCATCAAGCCCAGAATAGAGAGAAATTTGCCATATTGATCGCCAACCTTAATAGAGAAGGCACTTAGGAGGAGGGGAGAGATAACAAGACATGTGAGCTCCCACGTCGCAAAGGATTAGCCTGGGTAGCGTTTGGTAAATTAAACTATGTATTTAAATCGGATCTACCCATATGCCTCAAAAGGAAAATCTTTGACCAATGTGTGTTACCTGTAGTCACTTATGGAGCGGAAACATTAACACACAAAAAAGGTAGTTAATAAGATTCACGTGACTCAGGTGGCTATGGAACGCCAGATATTCGGGGGCCTCTCTAAGAGACCGAATCCCAAAAGAAGAAATAAATCGTAGAACAAAAACAAAAGACGTTATCGACAAAATCGTATAGTCCAAAACATAGAAAATCACCTCGGAAAAATCACGGAATATACCGAAAAATGGAAGATCAAAATCAACGTAGAGAAGACACAATTCATCATGTGCACCCAGGAGACGAGTCCACCAGTCATAGAAATTACAGTAGGAGGAAACAGGATCCAATCAGGAGAGTCAGTCAAGTACTTAGGATACCACCTTAACAGAAGACCAAACTTCAAGTTGCACAGCCAAAAAATTAAAGTAAAAGAAAAAGCTGTTAAAAACTATTAATTCCTTATATTTGTATTTCCAGTCCACTATCGAAGGCCAAGAAGATTCAATTATACCAGGCCTACGTTAGATCGGTTATACTGTATGCTGTTCCAGTTTGGAGTTCCATAGCAAAGTTCAACTGAAAGAAGTTCGAAGCAACAGTTATAGAATCATCGGTGGATCAACATGGGAAGAACGAACAACAAATTCAACCATCAAAGAAAGGCTCCAGTACACACCACTGAGCGAGGTAGCTGAGAAAAGGACCAAATACTTCTTCCACCAAGCCACAAGAAGACTCCTTAAGACCAGAGACATCCTCGCGAAAAATCGGATTCAGAGGATGTTTAGAACAACTCATAGACTGATCGACCATCTGATCAGGGTCTAGCCGGGTGGTTGCCGAAGACAACCAATCAGGCAAGTAGGTAAGATGCCAAAAACAAGTACCTACAGAAGAACAAGAAGCCAAGTAGTCCATGACAGAAAAATTCAAGATCTGAGAGGAAGAAAACCAACATCAGGCGGTGCAACATCGGGAGGTCAAGAAGAAAGAAGACTAAGATATCTTAGCTCTAAAACTAAAAGCTTTTATTTTTGTAAAATATTTAGATAAATACTTTTTTGGGTACCTGAAAGGTATTGAAAAAACATATATGTATATTATTTACTTATGTAAGAAATAGCCTTTTGCGCATAAACCCCGTTCTGATAGCCCACTGTCGTGTATCTGTGCAGCTGAGTGTTAAACTGCTGAAAATGGTAGATAGCTGAAGTTTGGTTTGGTATTATTTCATTTTTTAACACATTGCCTATCACGTCACCCAAATTTGACTGACAGAAATTTTTTGCTGTAGGCCATGTCGGTCATATATGAGTGACATCTTTGTTTTACCGAGGGCCACAGGCATTTTCTAATAAAGTTCGTGGGAGGCCACAGCAAAAAAAGAAGATATAGGGAAAGGTTTTTATGTCTAGATTATCATGTTTTCAGCAAAAAATTATTGCATGTTAAAAAACATTATTGTTTATTTAAAATCGTCACCCAATTGTGGCTGACGTGGCCTGCCCGGAAACTTATTTTGGTAGAGGCCATGTCATTAGCATTCACGTGACGATTTAAAGGTTAATTGTTGTGAAAATAATAGGTATTGTTATCTTAATTTACAATTTGGCTTTGTTGAAAAAATACAATGTCCAAGCGAAAGTATCAAAAGTATTTGACAGAGCAACAATTGAAAGCTGCTTTATTAGAAAGTGATGAAGATGATCAATTACAATACAGTGAAAGCGATACGGGTAGCGACAATGATAATTTTGGGTTAGATGATTCAGACGAAGATTGGCTTCCCTCTGAAGAAGAACCCGGCAATGATAGTATTGAGGCATTACTACATTATATGCAAGAGAAGGAAGAAAGAGAAGAGGTAGAAAATGAAGATAAAGAGGCTTCAGAAATAAATGTTCCAGAACCAGAAAATAAAAACGATCCTCACAGTTATAATCCCCAGTGGTCAGAATATACACAATTCCATAAAACTTTTTCTTTTCAAGGTAATATGAATATAAATAATTTTCTGAATATGAATATAAATAATTAAAATTTTTTAGGGCCTTCTGGACTAAAAATTGACATCCCTAAAGATATAACAGCTTATGAGGCATACTGCTTGTTTGTAGATGATGAGATTATAAATAATATTGTGGAATTTACAAATAAATATGCAGCAAGGGTAATCGAGAACACTAGAATACAACGTGGGTCTAGATTAACAAAATGGATTCCTACGAATAGTACTGAAATAAAAAAATTTCTGGGCCTCACTTTATGGATGGGTCTGGTAAAGATAGGAAATATTCAAGCTTACTGGTCTACCAAGAGTATTTATAATATTCCCCTGGCCACTTAAATAATATCTCGAAACAGATATGAATTGTTGCTGAAATTTATACATTTTACAGATCCAGAGACACCTACTATAAGTCGTATTGATAAAATCAAATCTTTGGTTGATGCATTGAATACAAAATATCAAAATGTGTACACCCCGGGTGAGAACTTTGTTATTGATGAAACTTTGGTACCATGGAGAGGCAGATTAATTTTTCGTCAATATATTCCCAATAAAGCCCACTGATATGGGATAAAAGTATTCAAACTTTGTTCAACAAATGGATATACCTGGACTACGAGAATTTATGAAGGCAAAGCAGACACATTTGACACAAATTTAGGTTTGGGTCATCATGTGTGTCTAAAATTGTCGCAGGGCCTTCTAAATCAAGGTCGTAAATTTTTGTTGATAACTTCTACATTAGTTACTCCTTAGCTTTATCCCTCTTAAATCAAAACACGCATTTAATCGGTACTGTTAGGACATCAAGAAAACATTTTCCAAAAGAAGTTATGATGAAAAAGCTGAAGAAAGGTGAATCTGTAAGTAGAGAAGACGAAAATGGAATAGTAATTCTCAAGTGGCGAGACACTCGTGACGTAAAATTACTGTCTACCAAACATGCTCCTGACTTGATCGATACCTCACAAAATAAAGATAACACAACTACATCGACACCATCAACTAGTAAACAACTTAAGAAAAAGAAGAGAAAGGAAACTAAAATAAAACCAAGTATGGTAGTAGCTTATAATCGAGGAAAATCTGGCATAGACATATCTGATCAAATGTCTTCTTACGCGACAACTTTAAGAAAAGGGGTAAAGTGGTTCAGGAAGCTGGCCATGGAATATCTTCCCGGCATTAGTGTTGTCAATTCTTACCTGGAATGAAAATGGTTTCAAAGAAAAAGAAGATGCAAATACGAAAGTTCAGAGAACAACTGGTTTGGCAAATGTTAGACATAGAACCAAGAGAAAAACCTATAAAAAAAACAGGACATGCATTGACCAAAGACAACAAAATTCGTCGTAGTTGCAAGCCTTGTTACAGACATTTGATTGGTTCTCTAACAAGATCGGAAGCCAGAAAGAAAGTGAAAAAAGTAATGATTTATTGCTGTGGTTGTCCTGATCAACCTTATATGTGCATGGACTGCTTTAAAAATATTTATACGTAATAAATTTATATTTTCCTGTTTTTGTTTCACTTTTGGATGGCAAAAATAAAAACTATTTTTTTCTTTTAATTTTTCATTATTTTTTCTTGGTGCGCCACCAATGTTTTAATGAAGTATTACTGGACGCCACAACAACAAAATTGTATATAAAAATCCATATACCCTCACGTAATTTTGAGTTATAGAAGGGCATTCGAAAGCTATCCTGTCATTCATATATGACCGACATGGCCTCACCGTAAAAATTTCCGTCGGTCATATCTGTCTGAAATGGCCTCCAGGAATTGAACAATTTTTTTGGTGTGGCGCTACATGAAACTTTTTGAGAAAGGCGTGTGGCAGGCAATGTGTTAAACTAATAAAAATTTCCGAATTTTGTGTATCAATACCATTGTTTATTGATGGAAAAAATCTACCGATTGTTGTCCAAATTTGGCAGTTGTCTCTTAAAGTACCAGTTTAAATCCACAAAAACAATAATATTTCTTAGACATTAACTATAAGACACCTTAAGCCACAGCCTTACCACAACCAATTAAAGATGATATAAAAAAAACTGTATCGAGGTAATTATATAACAGATTGACGTGAAAATTGAACTTACCGCAAAACCGCTATTAAAAATCGTAATTAATTTGTACACGATCATTAAATCTACGTGAACCTAATTGCTAATTATTCTAACTGTTTTTTTTTCGTGAATGCATAATAAATGCGAATCTCAAATACCAAAAATGGGCTACAAATGTCAAACTTTTTATAGAATATAATTATTCAAATGAGTTACGGCAACAGCGTGAAATTAACAATTTAATTTGCAATAAAAATATACTATAAAAATGTTTTGAAAGATTTTAATGTTCTTATATATCATTCGTGTGTGGTCAGATGGTAAAATCAATATGTTTCATTCAATGTCGTGATCGTCATAATCATCCTCTTGAAATGAAAATAAATTTTATTTATCACCTGAACTAAACATGCGAAAAGTGTACGTGCTTTATCTTCGCTTACCTAAAAGTACCATTATTGAATTTTGAAAACAGTACAGGAAAGTCATCAGACTTGCAAAAATTAATCCAAACGATATACATATAATAAATTCTGATAACGCGCAACAAGGTATGTAGAAACTTATTAATAATAAAGAACATAAAAATAACGCCACTGGTAAAGAAATAACAAGAAAAATGAGCAAACCATAGAAGACGACATCCCTAAAGGAATGACGAACAATAGAGGACTAATCATACCGAACGAGATGCAAGAAACACGACCAGAAGAGCATTCCAAAGGACAAGAAGGCAGGAGTTCAAGGATTACGGAGATGAACTGTCCGAAGAAATAAGAATAAGACTAAGGACTCACACAGAAAAGTGGCACAACAACATCAGCAAAGCAGAAGAAAACCATGGAAACGTATGGAAAATGCTAAAGGCTAAGCGAAGAGGAAAATAGAAGATGCCACAAATAATAGATGACGAGGGAATACACTTAGATAACCAGCAAAAAGTGGACAATTGCAAGAAGAATAGCCGCAACACAAAGGCAAAACCAAAACATATCGGATGCAAGAACCATCCAGGATGTCAACACAGACTACGATAGGATAAAAAGAATAAACGGGTTTTTAGTAGAGAAAGAAGAGTACATGAATCCAACAGAAGTTGCTTAAATCATCAGAAGATTAAAATGAAGTAGATCTTCAGGTGCCGAAGGAATCGACAACATAGTCCTCAAGGAACTGCCAAAGAAAATAGTAGTGCAACTCTACTATATCTTCAAATTTTGCCTACGAAAAGCGCATTTTCCAAAGAACTGGAAACATGCTAAGATCATTCCTTTACTAAAACCAAGGAAGGACGGAAGAAGACCGGAAAGCTACAGGCCAACATCACTACTAGAAACAATACGAAAAATCCTGGGAAAGATTATTTACAGAACACTGAAGAAACATTCAGAATGATAATGCAGAAAGAAGAATCATTCAAGAGGATCAATTTTGATTCAGAAGAGGAAAAAACTGTAAATGCAACTGGCAAGAGTTATCAGCGGCCAGAACTCTAACTGGCAAGTGTGGTATTAATTTCTATACTAATGATAATGATAGTTTGATAGTTTGATGTACAAAATATATAGTACTTACTGCGCTCTACCGATCAGATCTTTGGCAATGCCCATCCCCCTACAACTTGAATCAACGGCCACGAGACTCACTGTGATAGCTTTGTTAACACCTGGAAACTGCTTAAACGCATTAGAGTGTTCATCCATGTACACCAAAAAATTGTATATAGTTAAAAAGTCCTTATTGTCACTCTCAACCTTTTCGTGCTCTTTATTCCGTTCCAAAATTGGATTTATACACACGCCTATCATTTTTCCATTCCGAACGGCCTTTGTAGATATGCCATTGTCATAGTCTTGGACTAGATACTCTTCTAAAGGTACGTTGACAGGTTTTTCTTTAGTTATGAGATTTATCGATCTGTTTATTGGTTCGTCTTCCATAAAATAGTCCCGCATGAACTGTATGACATCGTCTCTGTCTTCTTTCTGGATTATCCTTACTTCGTAGTCACAATGTGGCATTTTTTCAGTTAAAATCAGTCTAAAACAGGTCAAAGTGAGTGAAAAGGTTACGAAAAATGAAGACAGTCAATTAAATTTTTATATGAAAGCAATTTCTGTCTGTTTTTTATTATATTCGATAAAAATATTATCAACAGGAAATTAGTAGTTCATTGTTACGAACTTTTAACATATATTGTTAAAGATAATTCATATTTTAAAAGATTAAAAATGCAACAATCCTTTGTATAAATACAGATATATACAGTGCGTTCATAAGGTAAGGCATAAATTCATTATTAGCTAAATAAAAAACAGTATTAGAAATTCCCGAAATAGTTCAATTTTTGATTTTAATTTACTATTTTTTTAAATTATAATTTAATATACACGGTGAACCACCTTAGTATGATGACGTCATCACCATTTTTTAATGGAACCCCCATTTTTTTTATTTTACAGATTTACCTTGCTGAGCTGATTCCAAAAATGCATAATACGTCGCTTCAAATTGGTACAGGGTGGCAAAGATGCAAAAATTCCAAGCTTTTTACAAAATATTAAATAAAGAATAAACGTATTAAACACATTAAATGAAATTTCATATTGTTATACAACTACAGTAATAAACTATTAAAACCACCTTGCATTATCTGTAGCATTGAATCTAACAGCTTTTATTAGTGATCCAAGACCAGAATGATAAAAATATCTTCTAGCAGCTTTTATTAAGCTGGATTCTCACGAGTGGCGTATTTGACAAGTACACCAATACTGGTGTACTTGATGAGTCGGTAAACCGTTCACAGGGCGTGTACGATCAACAACTGTACCAACAACAAATATGCCAGTAAACTATTAAATATTAAACACTCCAGTGTGAACCACGATGGATAGGGATAGTTCTAAATACGCGACACACGCGGATCTTAATCCAATTTTATATTGGTTACCAATTTGAACTAGGGTACTTTCTTGTAAACGAATAGCCCTATCTAATTCTTTGGAGACAGATGGTTTAATATTTTGAACTCCGAGGCTTTCAACTGAAAAGAAATCTTTTACAGTATTAAAGAGTTCTGTGGTAAGTGTAGATTAATTCCACAAACATTGCAAAAATAGTCCAACCGAACCTGGACTTTGCAACTATTGATTGAAGTTCTAATGAATTCAACGTACAAATGAACGTTAAGAAAACCAAGTTCATGATTATTTCCAAGCAACATACAGTAGGAAGGCTAGATATCGAGGGAAAACAAGTAGAAAGAGTGAATAACTACAAATATCTGAGAACCTGGGTAAATGAAAACAATGACCAAGGTAGAGAAATAAGGACATGCATTGAAATTGCAAGACAAGCATTTATAAAAATGAAAACAATGTTTGTCAATCGAGACCTTCCTCTGGATCTGAGGATAAGAGCCTTAAGATGCTACGTGTTCTGGACTTTGTTGTATGGAATGGAAAGCTGGACACTAAAAGTGGATAATATAAAGAAGTTGGAATCATTTGAGATGTGGTGCTATAGAAGGATTTTGACAATACCATGGACCCAACGAGTTACAAATTCAAAAGTGTTAAGAAGGCTACAAAAGGATTGCGAGGTCATAAAGCACATCAAAACAAGAAAGCTGGAATATTTAGGCCACATTACCAGAGGTGCGAAATATGAGATATTAACGCTTATAATGCAAGGTAAAATCAAGGGTAAAAGATCCATAGGAAGACGAATAAATTCCTTGCTGAGAAATCTAAGAGAGTAGTATAGTTGCAGCTCAGTAGATCTTTTTAGAGTAGCCGCCAATAAGGTACGGATGATGATACCCAACCTCCGATAGGAGAAGCAACTACAAGAAGAAGAAGATTAAAGTTCTAATTCTTTCACTCGAAGTGGTAACACCAAGTCCCATTTATCTAAGCCTATCAAGGTCTGAGGAACAGCGTTTTTATATGATTTGAATGACAAGTTTTTTAGATAGGGAAAGCTTTTTTTAATTGCCTTTGCATCGAGAGTTTTTTTTAAGGTCTAATTTTCTTACCATTCTGGCTGGTTGGTGGTCAAATTCTTTAGCCCCATTATAATCACCAGAAATAGAAAATAATACGTTTTCTGACGCATCTTCTAAGCGTTGTTGGTTTCCAGTCCATTTTAAGCAAAGTTGTTCTGGATTTCCCATTATATTTAGCTTTTTAGCAATACTTAGTAACTAGTAACGGAAGACCCTTCATCTAGAAAGGCAAATGTAGTGACCTCCCCACTTTTTTTATTAAAACAACGTATTCGAAAGCGTGTTCCTTGATGTACATTACTTTCTTCATCTGCAGATAATAGGTGTGATTCTACTGTTTGCATACCGCTTTCTTTTTTGATAAGCTTTGTACTTTTAATAGATACTTGTTCTGAAAATTCATGAAGAAGACATGATGCTTTCTTTGGCATTCTTCTTTGTTGCATTTTTCAGGATACCTTTGAGATATCTTTGATATAATGAATATCATTGATATTCTGAACAAACTGCAATCTTTTTACAATCTCTCTAATTACACAGTTTACAATTATGTGTTTCACTGGAGGTATTTGGTTGATGTATAATTAGCATGCACATTATTATTAAATTGCCTTTTTTTATTACTTTGGGCTTACACTTATTATTATTAAGGGCTAGTGTAGGTAGAGCAGAACAAACAGTTGTTGCTAGATTATACAACCAATCAGCAAGTTCACTTAATCCCTGAAATTTGTGAAAGGCACTGCGATATATCGCCCAATTAACTTTAATTTGTGAAATTTTGGGTAACATGATAGAACTAAAAATTAATGAAATACATTGTATACAAATAATAAATAACCTACCTGTTACATTGTATGTAACAGGTAGTTTGAATATTAATGATGATTGGTATTGGTGATAAGATGCGGACTCAACAAGAAGTATGTCGATTTTTTCATGAAAGACACCCAGATTGTGAACCTATTTCACAATCTACGGTAAGCAAAATAGAGCAAAAATACAAAGAATTAGGATGTAAGGGATACAGCAAAGCAGGGTAGGCCAAAAATTAATGAAAATATTAACAACAAGACATCATTTTAGCGGCAGTAGAAAATCCACACTATTCAGTATCAAATGTTTTCAAAAAGGTAAAATACCATATTTATAAAGTACGCCTTGTTCGTGAATTTGCACAAGACGACTTTGACCGAAGAACTGAATTCTGCGAGTATATGATGAATCAACCTAACAATTTCATTAATAACGTTTTATTTTCAGACGAGGCAACGTTTCATTTGAACGGTCAAGTTAACCGATAAAATACCCGTTATTGGTCTGATAAAATCCTCATTGGATGCAAGTGTCCCATAGGCAAAGACCACAAAAAACGAACGTATGGGTTGGTATTGTGAGAAATACATTTGAATCACTTGTTTCGAAAAGGTAACAAATGACAGTTTTTGCCAAATACACTTGTTGACGCAATATTGCTCACAAATTGTTCCTACACAGTGTGTAGATTGACAAACGTAACATATCTCATCTCGTCCCTGTTAAAAGTTGACATTGAGTTTTGATTTAGTTAGAAAAGGTAACAAATGTTGGCCATATTACCTTTTCGAACTAAACCAACTGAATTGGTTCGGCAATGTTAGGCAACAATCAGTTCTTGCAAGTACAGCTAGCTCACTTTACGGTTGTTTATTGTAATACACTCAGTGATGTCATCTAGTAGCGAGGGTGAAGATGAAATAATACGAAAAAAGAGGAGAGAATGGTGTTGTGAATGCAGACAACTATAAACGAAATTTTACACGAAATGCTAAGGTGAAAGGAAAAACTCATATAAATCATGTTGGAAAAGAAGTTCCTCATAGAAAAACAGGAGTAAACTGTTGGTAAGTAAAAATAGTACAGTTTTTAGAGTACATAGATTTTTTATTATTTTTAGCTGTCTAAAAAAGTGTTGCCTTGTGAAAACAAGGCAAAAATTATAGCCAACCGTAACCAACTTTCAACAAAAATGAGCAGGATCTATATCTGCATGGACTCATAGACTCGAATCCGGTGCAAAACATTAGAAACCGTAAGGCATCCGTAGCATCAAGTAAGCATAAAAGTTATTCTTGTAAATACTATGTAGTAATGGGCAGAGAAATGAAGTATGCAAGAAAGCTTTCATAAGCTTGCATTAAATTACAATAAAAAGGGTTTATGGTTTACGCAAACTAAAGTCTCAGAACAAACTTCCTCGTGATTTAAGAGGAATAGCAATATTGTCTAGGCATAATACTATTGATGGCAACTACTTGCCATCCTAAAAAAGAAGTCCACACAAACAATATTAAAAAAAAATACCTGTCTGTTTCATTAAACAATAAAATTATTCATGAAATGTTTCTGGAGAAGAATCCGGATATCACCGATAAAATCATAAAATATAACTACTTCTATTCCTATTTTAAAGAAAATTTTGATCTTTCGTTTGGCCGACCTCAGGTGGATGTGTGTTCACTGTGTGAAAATTTAAAAACAAAGATAGCAGATCCATTTTTAAATCAAAATGCTAAAAGAGTTGCTGTAGTTGAGCCTCTAGTACATAAAAGAAGAGCAAAGAAATTCTACGCAAAAATAGATGAAACAAGCAGAATGTGCAGAGAAAGAGAGGTAATGGCAATAACAATCGACTACATGCATAATCTGCCCCTTCCCCATATTCCTGTGCAAGAGGTATTTTAGTACAGGCAGCCATGGATTTATGAATTTTGTATTCATGATATCAAGAACAACAATGCCTTTTTTTATTCATATCTAGAAGGAGACTCATTGAAAGGTCCAAATGAAGTATGTACATTTTTGCTCAATTTCATTGAAGAACACGTACCCTTAACGGTAACTGAGTTGTATCTTTCCTCATTTTTGTTAATGCTAACATCAAGTGGTCGGTTTTAAAATATCACACATTACTTTCCAATGAGGGGACATTCTTTTGATGAATGTGATGGAGATTTTGGAATTGTAAAAAGAAAACTACGGAGACATAATG